TGGAACAGGTATTTGAAGAGTACAGAAAATCTACTACTACAGGACAGAGATCACATGCTAGTTAGCCATGAGGAGTACGGGGTTAGAGGGATACGGGGTTAAACACAAACAAGCAGGGACAAGGAAAGCGACCATGTTAACAAAGTTCTGAGCTGGGCTCTCAGCTAAAACAAGTCAGCCTGTGGTTATAATTATCTACAGCAAAGTTTAAAATAATCAAAACAGAACGACAAATTATAATACACACGTAAACATTCAAACATCCACATCTCTCAGGCTATCTTAGGTCTGTGACGTATTTCGACAATATTTTAGTTCAGGATAAACACTAGGTTGTCATAATTGCGATGTAATTCTACCAGAGCCCCGAAAAGTCTGAAGAAAAATTTAAAGCAACTGATAGAAAATATTTTAAAGACCCTTCTTACTTTGTTCTGTACAGAGTATAAAATATGATAACATCATCCAAAGGATAAATCAATGGCATGGAATAAATAACCATTTGTCTGCACAAGATAAAGCCTGAGAGGTGTGGTCTGTACTATAATGGCACATTGACTACAAGTTTGGATATATGAATATATATATATGCCATTTATACATACAACACAAATAAAATTAGTTTCAACAACACCGAGGTTATTGTCAAAATGAAAACATAAACAGAACAAAAAGATAACTTCTCACAGGTAGCTATCCTAATCAGATTGTTAACTCATAGGTAGCTATCCTAATAAGAATGATCACACACAGGTAGTTATCCTAATCAGAATGTTAACTCACAGGTAGATATCCTAATCAGAATGTTAACTCACAGGTAGATATCCTAATCAGAATGTTAACTCACAGATAGCTATCCTAAACAGAATGTTTACTCACAGGTAAATATCCTAATCAGAATGTTAACTCACAGATAGCTATCCTAAACAGAATGTTTACTCACAGGTAGCTATCCTAATCAGAATGTTTACTCACAGGTAGATATCCTAATCAGAATGTTTACTCACAGGTAGATATCCTTATCAGAATGTTTACTCACAGGTAGCTATCCTAATCAGAATGTTTACTCACAGGTAGATGTCCTAATCAGAATGTTTACTCAAGGGTAGATATCCTTATCAGAATGTTTACTCACAGATAGCTATCCTAAACAGAATGTTTACTCACAGGTAGATATTCTAAACAGAATGTTTACTCACAGGTAGATATCTGTATCAGAATGTTTACTCACAGGTAGATATCCTAATCAGAATGTTTACTCAAGGGTAGATATCCTAATCAGAATGATTACTCACAGGAAGATATCCTAATCAGAGAGATTACTTACACGGAGATCTCCTAATCAGTGTTTGCTCACAGGTAGATATCCTAATCAGAATGTTAACTCAAGGGTAGATATCCTAATCAGAATGTTAACTCACAGATAGCTATCCTAAACAGAATGTTTATTCACAGGTAGATATTCTAAACAGAATGTTTACTCACAGGTAGATATCCTTATCAGAATGTTTACTCAGAGGTAGATATCCTAATCAGAATGTTTACTCAAGGTTAGATATCCTAATCAGAGTGTTTACTCACAGGTAGATATCCTAAACAGAATGTTTACTCACAGGTAGATATCCTTATCAGAATGTTTACTCAGAGGTAGATATCCTAATCAGAATGTTTACTCAAGGGTAGATATCCTAATCAGAATGTTAACTCAACGGTAGATATCCTAATTAGAATGATTACTCACAGGAAGATATCCTAATCAGAGAGTTTACTCACAGGTAGATATCCTAATCAGAATGTTAACTCAACGGTAGATATCCTAATCAGAATGATTACTCACAGGAAGATATCCTAATCAGAGAGTTTACTCACAGGTAGATATCCTAATCAGTGTTTACTCACAGGTAGATATCCTAATCAGAATGTTTACTCAAGGGTAGATATCCTAATCAGAATGTTTACTCTCATGTAGATATCCTAATCAGAATGTTAACTCAACGGTGGATATCCTAATCAGAATGATTACTCACAGGAAGATATCCTAATCAGAGAGATTACTTACACGGAGATCTCCTAATCAGTGTTTGCTCACAGGTAGATATCCTAATCAGTGTTTCCTCACAGGTAGATATCCTAATCAGAATGTTTACTCACAGGGAGATATCCTAATCAGAATGTTTACTCTCATGTAGATATCCTAATCAGAATGTTAACTCAACGGTAGATATCCTAATCAGAATGATTACTCAAGGGTAGATATCCTAATCAGAGAGTTTACTCACAGGTAGATATCCTAATCAGAGTGTTTACTCACAGGTAGATATCCTTGAGTAATCATTCTGATTAGGATATCTACCTGTGAGTAAACTATCTGATTAGGATATCTACCTGTTCACTCACAGGTAGGTATCCTAATCAGAATGTTAACTCAACGGTGGATATCCTAATCAGAATGTTAACTCAACGGTGGATATCCTAATCAGAATGTTACCTCAACGGTAGATATCCTAATCAGAATGTTACCTCAACGGTAGATATCCTAATCAGAGTGGTTACTCACAGGTAGATATCCTAAACAGAATGTTTACTCAAGGGTAGAAATCCTAATCAGAATGTTCACTCACAGGTAGGTATCCTAATCAGAATGTTAACTCAACGGTGGATATCCTAATCAGAATGTTAACTCAACGGTGGATATCCTAATCAGAATGATTACTCACAGGAAGATATCCTAATCAGAGTGTTTAATCACAGGTAGATATCCTTATCAGAATGTTTACTCACAGGTAGCTTAGGAGCCCTACTTCAGGTAACCTATGGGCCACTATCTACATAGTGGTATGGTGACCACGTTTTAGGAGCCCTACTTTATGTAACCTATGGGCCACTATCTATAGAGTGGTATGGTGACCACGTTTTAGGAGCCCTACTGGCCATGAGGACCACTACAAATAAAGTGGTACGCTGATCAGATTTTCATGATTAGTTAACACACATATAAAAAAAAGATGAATTATCATCACATCTTAGAAGTTTTGGTTGGTGACTGGATTCGATACATTTGATGTATCAAAAACTTAAAAAGTGAATCTGGATGTACAGATTATTTTCAGATGAAGTAATTATTTATAAACAGCACTGTACGTAAGTGGCATTGCTATTCTTTTGTCTCTATGCTGTGATTATGTACTTGACAGTAGTGTGTCAAAATTGTGTCTAACCTAGTTATGTGCTTTGCTACATTTTTTTATCTTTGAATGTTAAAAACATTCCTTCATGAGTTTTCTCTACAATGATATATATCACATCCAGCCATTCATCAAAACTGTACAAGAACTTTTAAACAAGCCATTACACCTACTACCTAAATACATGTGTATTAATCAATTAGTCATTCAGTCAATTTGGTTTACGACAGTACATGCCCTTTACTGCCACTTATTGTTTGGTCAGGATACATGGACCTTCTCTTTCCTTTAAATAAAGTTCAGCCATTTAGGAGTCACTGCCCCAAACTAATTGGACTGATTGAACATTTAACCCCCTTGCCATAGAGGAAATAGTTTTAGGATCATCTGATGATGGTGAGCTAAAAATGCTTCCCTATTATGAAAGACGTTCATTTCCGTAAATGGAAATGACCATTATACATTGGTCTCCGACGGATACCAAACAGAAGTCGTACTAAGCATGTTCTGTCACCAACACAAAGACTGAAGATAAAACAACAATCACACACAGACACATCTAGTGCTCTCTAACTACGGTTACAAAAGTAGAGCAAACTGTATCAGAGAAGCATCACACACTATGTTAATGTGAGAGAAGTGTCACATATACATACAATGTATAGGAGATAACATAAAACTCATTCAAACTGCTCTATGACCATCCTACACAGTCAATGTTCAATAAGGAGATAACGTATGTAGTGGTACTAATACGGTCTTACCAAACACCGGTCATTAGGACCAGACAAAATCTACAGTTCACTCAAAACTTTTCAGTTCAAAAGGTCTGTGATTTGGATTATTTCAACAATGACAAAGAATATAGCAACTAAACAAGAGGCCCAGAGGTCCTGTATTGCTCACATGAATATTAAAGCAATCATGGCAAAAATAGTATCATTTCCAGCCTCTTCATGTCCATTAAGCACATATATGGTTATAGGGTGATGGTCTGAACAGTTTCCATGTTTTGGTTATAGGGTGATTTTCTAAACAGTTTCCATGTTATGACACAAGGATTATGTTTGTGGTGACAAAGAGGCCAATCCTTGTAGGATATCTATATTTGTCTCTTCATTCCCAGAGATTGTATATATGGTTATAGGGCGAGGATCTCAATCATTTCCAAGTTACAAGCCTTTATTAGTTCCCAGATAGTCAGCCTTTCTATTTATAAAATTGTGAATCCTCCTCTTCCAAACTGACAATTTATATTCATTTTATACATGTAGTCCTCTGGAGAAGTTCCTTAAAGCAATATGGCCAAATTACCATTTTTGACTCTGCCCCTCAGCATTTTGAGGATGAGTGGTCAGGGTAAGGGTCAATCAGCCTTTTTGTCTGTACAATTTAGAATCCCCACCATTACAGCAGAAGTTTCAACTCAAATTTGGTGAAAATCTGTTCAGACCGTAAGAATTTGTTACAGACAAAGGACAGAGGCCATAGTACTAATAACCTGGCCTTGGTCTTTCAGACCAGGCGAGTTAAAAATGAATAAACCTGAATTCCTATTAGAGATAGTGAGATTTAATTTTGTGTTAACACAAACCTTACACAATACAAAACCTTCAGTTTACACAGCATTATAACAAACACCAACAGAATCACAACTGTCGTTGTTAATTTAGAAGTAAACAAGAACATTGCCTTGGCTGCAACTTGTATAGCCTCCTCCCTAACTAGCCACATGAATCATGGCAAACAGTTTTGAAGTTGGGAGTAATTTTAACACCTACAGACACTACATTTAGCAAGAGTGTATGTACTTACTTGACTGAAAGGTAGGGATGCCCCCTTGTCCTCCAGGGCCTCCGGGGCCTCCGGGGCCACCGGGGCCTACAGGGCCACCGGGACCTCCGGGGCCGCCAGGCATACCGGGCATACCAGGCATACCAGGCATCCTCATTGCGGCTGGGTTTGGTCCTGGGTACGGTGGTCGCTCTCCTGGACTACCCATACGAGGATCAAACATGAATCTTGGGCCTGAAACATCAAAACATTTCAAATCAAACTTTTGTCATGTTGCATTCTACTTTATATATTAAACTAAAAAGCGGGGCCAAAAAAAACACACCTGATTCAGTGTTTTCAGATCCTATGACCTATTTAATAATGTCTTTAAAAACATGCATATATCTTTCTTCCACTGTGATGGAAATGGAGCTTAATGCAAAGTCTAACCAAAATTAGTGAAGCCGAATAATGAGGTGACACTGACTTATACTGGCTACATTTGTGTAGTACTCCTTCCTCCTGATGAACACACACAACATTGATCATCATTACACTTCTAGTCTCGGAGTAGTGTAATAGAGCTGAATTAACCAACATTAGTGAAGCCAAATAATGAGGTGACACTGACTTATACTGGCTACATTTGTGTAGTACTCCTTCCTCCTGATGAATTCACACACCACATTGATCACCATTACACTTCTAGTCTCAGAGTAGTGTAATAGAGCTGAATTAACCAACATTAGTGAAGCCGAATAATGAGGTGACACTGACTTATACTGGCTACATTTGTGTAGTACTCCTTCCTCCTGATGAACACACACCACATTGATCACCATTACACTTCTAGTCTCGGAGTAGTGTAATAGAGCTGAATGCAAATTTGAGTTTGTTGTAGAGGACATAAAAAAATGAAATTACACACAACTAGATTTTAGCAACAGAGTAGATTCAAAAAGTGAAAGCTTAAGCAGGAAGTTATATATCTGTCCACTACCTGATGCTCTTTCATTGACTTGCCATTCTTAAATTACAGCAACAACTTAATTAGTTTCATAGCAAAATTCAGTCTTCACTCTGTAATTTATTTTGTGTCAACAAAAGAAGATCAAGGATGAGTATGTGAAAAGATGTTAGGAAGATGTTCCCATACGCTGTCAAGTTCTTGTAGACAGTGTTATTGCTGACCAATCTTTTAAAAGTTATCACTATTCTTAGCTCTCTGTCAAAAGGATAGGGTAACCATCTTTTGTGTCAAACCTCCTTACTCTAGGTATAGTTATGTAAGTTTGAAACTGAAATAATCCTAAAGGGTAGTCTTTATAAGACTTCCCTCTATTTCCCCTATTTGGTTCTGCCCTCAAGAAGGTGTCATATTCATTTATCTGATGTGTTTAGAAAAGTGAAGAATGAAAATATATCCCACATTTCTGTACCTCACCTGCAAACCTCTGACCTTGTTCACCAGGAAACCTAGCTGATTGATCTCCTGGAAATCTGTGTCCTTGTTCCCCTGGAAACCGTGGTCCCTGGTTTGGATCACCAGGAAAACGTTGTCCTTGATCCCCTGGGAACCGTGGCCCCTGATTAGGATCGCCTGGAAACCTTGAGCCCTGATCCCCTAAGAACCGTGGTCCATGTTCCCCTGGAAACCTAGGTCTAGGTTCCCCAGGAGCTGGCATCCTAGGTCCACCGTAAGGACCCGATCCTTCAAAGGGTGGGCGTTCTCCACCAAAGAACTGGTGCATCTGACGATTAGCATCAGGGGTATCGCCTAGAAACAATCAGTAACATATCACTATTTATCTAAATAAACAAATAAAAAATCTGAAGCATCCAGACAGGTAATTTGTTCTGTTAAATTCTAATTTTAGTAATGATGACCATTATCTTTCACAAATCACGCCTAAAACCATTAAGAGGGTACTCATATCTATTGGACAAGTACTTTTGGAAGAGATAGCTACCTGGTAGATCCCTGTAACCAGTGTGATATGTACCTGCTGGTCTAGTACTTTGGGAGGGGGGCTACCAGCAGGTAGATCCCTTTAACCAGTGTGATATGTACCTGCTGGTCTAGTCCTTTGGGAGGGGGGCTACCAGCAGGTAGATCCATGTAACCAGTGTGATATTTACCTGCTGGTCTAGTACTTTGGGAGGGGGGTTACCAGCAGGTAGATCCCTGTAACCAGTGTGATATTTACCTGGTCCAGTACTTTGGGAGGGGGGCTCCCAGCAGGTAGATCCCTGTAACCAGTGTGATGTGTACCTGCTGGTCTAGTACTTTGGGAGGGGGGTTACCAGCAGGTAGATCCCTGTAACCAGTGTGATATTTACCTGGTCCAGTACTTTGAGAGTGGGGCTACCAGCAGGTAGATCCCTGTAACCAGTGTGATATGTACCTGCTGGTCTAGTACTTTGGGAGGGGGGCTACCTGCAGGTAGATCCTTGTAACCAGTGTGATATTTACCTGGTCTAGTACTTTGGGAGGGGGGCTACCAGCAGGCAGATCCTTGTAACCAGTGTGATATTTACCTGCTGGTCTAGTTCTTTGGGAGGGGGGCTACCAGCAGGTAGATCCCTTTAACCAGTGTGATATTTACCTGGTCCAGTACTTTTAGAGTGGGGCTACCAGCAGGTAGATCCCTGTAACCAGTGTGATATTTACCTAGTCCAGTACTTTGGGAGGGGCACTACCTGGTAGATCCCTGTTACCAGGAGTCTGTGATATTTACCTGGTCCAGTACTTTGGGAGGGGGGCTACCTGGTAGATCCCTGTAACCAGGAGTCACTGATATTTACCTGGTCCAGTACTTTGGGAGAGGGGCTACCTGGTAGATCCCTATAACCAGGAGTCTGTGATATTTACCTGGTCCAGTACATTGGGAGGGGGGAGCTACCTGGTAGACCCCTGTAACCAGTGTCATATTTACCTGGACCAGAGCTTGGGGGCTGCCCCATTGTTGCCTGTTGACCAGGTGCGATGTGTAGCCTCTCATGTTGTTTCTGGATCTGTTCTCTCTCGTAATACTCTTCACTGAACGGGTTATTGTCCTGAAATGCAATGGATAAACAAAGTAGTGTCGTTTGATGGAACAGCTGCCTTAGGGACACCCTTTTATAAAGAGGACAAATACTAGTACCCTACCTTAAATCCAATAGGTTACTCTTATAACATCTGTTCAGATAAATCACCTGGGCAGAGAGAGGGAATTGACCATCCAACGACCTTTGACCATATTTGTTGAAACATGTACCCAGTAACAAGTAAATAATTGAATATATATTTCACTTTTGGCTAAAATACATGAATGCAAATGATACTCTGTGCTAATCATATACAGTCAAACCTTACTTTACCTACCCAAATCAGGACTGGATTGTTCAGTCAGATCCATCCGCTGGTTATTAATGATAAAGCTTATAGACAGAATTGCCTCTTTGGGGGGACAATATCATGTTCAATATTACAGGAGGTCCGGTACAGTCAGGTTTCATTGTCAATGAACACAGTTGACATTGATAGGGGAGGTAATTATATCATTAAAAACATATAAATGTTCCAGCATTATTTGGTAAATTTGGGTCCGGATATACGAGGTTTCTTTGACAACAGATGATAAATTCCGTAATTCCTATATGGTTTTAATCTTATAAATGACAAACAGATTTGTTCACACAATGGTATCCTGAAATAGAAGACCAACAATACAAAGGTGTGTGTACTGTGTGCTGGTACATTAGATGTTAATGACAACAAGGCTAGTGGTGTTACTGTGACGACAAGGTCACTGGCTGACTGCAGTAAGCTGTAGTAGGTTTAGTAGGTAAGTATCACAACACAGCGTGCACAACAGTTGAGTAGCCTCCCCTAATCTAGGCCACGACCAGTACCTACTGGCCCTAGTCTAGTCCACGGCCAACATCACTTCTGGACGACCAGGAAGCTTACTATTTTACAATAACCAACGATACTCACCTAATGTAGTTGTGACTCACATTAGCTACATCATTATTACATATCTAATATTTCAGTTGATTTGGAAAAACTTACACTTTAACACATGAATCACATATTTTACAACAACCCCCAGATTGTAAATTTTCTACAAAAACTACACTGAAACTTTGTCTTAAAACGTCACACTTTCATTCCTTTATGATTTCTATAGAAACAAGAGGCCTTAATAGCTTCCCTGCCAATTTTATTTTGCTTTAAAATGTGCTGAACAATGGAAGAAGTCCTTTTTCCACGATGGTTCAGACCAAATAAGGTTAAAACCGTTTTTCCCATATTAAGAAGAAAGTAATTAAAGGTTCAATTTTAGAGTCTGTATTGGGCCCCACCCCTCCGGCGGTCACACCATCTTTTTGTAGAAATGGGGTCTTCTTGGCCAAAGGATAATTCAGAACAAATTTAAGTGAAAATGAATCTGTGCTGATGTAATAGTATTTTAAAGATTTACTTTACGGTGTAGGGCTAAGAGTGGTGGTTATTAAAGTTGGGTAAGATTAATAAGTCTCGTGGAGAATAGAACAGGATTTTGAAAGAATACACACTAACATGGGTATGAGCAAATTATTGAGGGACATATTTATATCATAAAGAATTAATTGTCCAAACAAGATTGTAATGCCCGAAAAACGGTAATTACTTTATATAATGGGGCATAACTCCTTACAAAAGTGTTAAAATAAAATGTACATACTTCACAAATAATTTTGAAAAACTGATGAAATCTAGACAGTATTTCAGAGTAGTACAAAAAATGGTTCAACAGACAAGTCGATGATGAAAAATTAAGGAAATTATTGCAAAATTAATTTCTGTTTATACAATTGCAAAAGAACAATGAATACATATAAATATCATAAATATGGATTATTCTGTGGACTGGTTGATGGAGACAGGATGTCAACATCACCGTGAAGGTAAATTATCTTTCCTAAACACAAATTGCTGGTTATGAAGAGTTGATAGAACTTTAGTTACACATACAGTAGACAAACACATGAGTATATGTAACACAACACAAACATACATACTTTGTTGACGGTCAACAAACCAGTACAAATAACACAACATAGATATATAAACAGCCAGGACACCTTCAGCAGCTCTCAAATGTGTGATGATAAAGTACTGATAGGACACCCAAATCAAAGTAGGCTGGAGAAACAAAACTTGGGGAGTAAAGTGACAAGGGACAGCTCAAAAACGTCCTCTAAGTGCAATGGTCTTCTAGGTGAAATAGGTCTGTGAGCAAAAATTATCTGAACTTTGTAAAAGTAGGGAAAAAAACATGATGATATTGCCCTACATTATTCTCATTCCTAAAAACCACACTGTTTTGGCCAAACGTGTTCCCTAGCTGAAGAATGTACAATTTGTGGCTATTTTAATTATACTAACAGTAAAAACTTCACAAACACTACTCCTTTGTGTGTTACAATGATTTATTCATCAATACTTTTAATCCCTTATTGTGTCCATGACCAAGTCAAGTCATGAATCTTGTTGATATTAAAATTGCACATTCCAATGAGTGATTAGGAAAGTGCACCAAGCTGGGAAATCATGACATTGTGTCCCAGAAGCTTTGAGCTAGAGTTCAAAGCTAGAGTGGTGTTTGTTCTCTATGAAAAAAGCCTACAGAGGTATGATAGATCTGGGCTATGGTGTTTGTCCTGTATGTGGACACTTGTCAGAGCTACCTATGATACTAATGATCTGATATACTAAACAGACGGTACTACATGGTACCAAGTAACGTGCCAAAGTTCCACATCAGTACTCAAACCCTAACTTAACCAAATTTTACCAATACTACAATTTTCCAATTTCAGGGTAAGCTAATAAAGGTAAACAAACAAAAAAAGGTTGGCCGAGTCAAGATGAAGGGGTAAAACGTTAATGCTGAATGCCAGTACCTTCCTTACCCTGAAGCTGTCATTGAACGTGTTGTCCACAAGCCAATAAAACAAGAAGCTGGGGAGTAACATGCGGAGTTTGGACCGAGGCTTGTTAAACAGTGATATCAATGACTACTAGGCTGCTGCCCAAAACCTACACGGTAAATCTTTCTGATTACTCCATTGCTGTAGGTTACCAAGCTACTAAGTTTTTGTTCCTATCTGAAGGATGAATTATTCTTCACATATCCTTCAGGACCCCAGTGTACTGTCCAGCTAGAGGGGAGCCAAACTAGTGATATTTTACTGATCAAACCTTATCGGAAATTGTACCAAAATAATGATGTCAACAAAAAAGCAAAGAACACAGAACCAAAAACCTGCAAACTCAATTAACATTTCCATAAATTATCAGAACTGAAAAGGGCATTTTATGATAACTGTCAGTACCCCATCAAATAAATCGACCGATTCTCCTGATTTTTTACCCCGAAAAATATAAGACAACAAGTTACATGTATTGTAGGTTTCTATGTAAATGCTCTGCATCACCACTGGTGGTGGACAGAGACACACTGAAGAGGACGTGGACACACATGTACACCAGCAAGTAGTGATAAGCAGTATTCTAGTGCTGGCTTCCCACATATATAGCCAAGTACAGGCTGTAGAGGTTAATGCCGAGGTGACCCGAGTATTCTAGTGCTGGCTTCCCACATATATAGGCCAGTACTGGCTGTAGAGGTTAATGCCGGGGTGACCTGAGTATTCTAGTGCTGGCTTCCCACATATATAGGCCAGTACTGGCTGTAGAGGTTAATGCTGAGGTGACCCGATTATTCTAGTGCTGGCTTCCCACATATATAGCCCAGTACAGGCTTTAGAGGTTAATACCGAGGTGACCCGAGTATTCTAGGGCTGGCTTCCCACATATATAGGCCAGTACTGGCTGTAGAGGTTAATGCCGGGGTGACCTGAGTATTCTAGTGCTCGCTTCCCACATATATAGGCCAGTACTGGCTGTAGAGGTTAATGCTGAGGTGACCCGATTATTCTAGTGCTGGCTTCCCACATATATAGCCCAGTACAGGCTTTAGAGGTTAATACCGAGGTGACCCGAGTATTCTAGGGCTGGCTTCCCACATATATAGGCCAGCACAGGCTGTAGAGGTTAATGCCGAGGTGACCTTAGTATTCTAGTGCTGGCTTCCCACATATATAGGCCAGCACAGGCTGTAGAGGTTAACGCTGCTCTAGTTACTGTGCCTCAAGCTAAACAGAACAGTTTGTTTATATCAGATAGCAGTCAGGAAAACAAGTGTTATCCGTCTGAATTCATAAGGATAACTAAGCAAAAAATTGTATCATAAGATTTGTTACAAAATCAATGTTGTAACTAATAACTTTACTAATTTCTAAGATCCTACCCTCCGCTGCCCTTCTTCCTCAGCCACTTCACTGTTAGTAGTGTGTTTAGCGTCATTACAGTATGTATATAGATGTCTCAGCCTGTTAACTACCTTTATTGTCACTGTCTTTGTTCAATAATACACACATCAGTTAGCCATGTAAAACCTAACAAATGACTTGCAATAGTACAGGTGAAATATGCCTACACTTAATGGAAATACAATATTAGTGCAGGAAAATAGTGATTTATTTTAAAGATCACAGAAGCAATACAGTGAACAATATGTATATGAAGATCATATAGAAAGAAAGACAATGTCAACATAACATAAAACCATCCAACTCGTACATATCCTAAGGGTATATCTAAGCACTTTATTTGTCATTCACTCTAAAATTAGCAAAGATTGCTCAAGAACAAATTCAGGATTTTAAACATTTGAAATGTCACTATCATTCCTGATGGCACAGTACAATGCCCCTATCAACCATTCAGAAGCCAAACAAAGTTAAAAGGTTGGTTTTTGAAATTTAAAAGTAATTTCTCATAATTGTTCCATCCTTACGCCTCTCAACATATGTGGCATCCCTGGATTTAACGACCTGCGTCTTTTACTTTTTCTGATTTCTATTCATCCCTTTGATTCCTACTTTACCACCGATTCCCTCAAACAGCAGGACTACAGGTCAGACAGACTAACTTTGGCGGTATTCTAACCATACTGCTCACAATCCTCCTCACAAAACAATCCGTGTAGAAGTTAAGACAGCAAGAACTATGACCATTTGAATTTTGCATAACAAATAATATCCAATTCCCACCTGAGATTTTTTAATTTGTTCTGAAATAATTGCCAAGGCTATTATTATCACTACAAATACAGCAATACTTATTAGAAATATTGGATACTGCCTATAACCTTACTACACAGTACATTATTTGAAATTTGAAATTCAAACATATTTGACAACAAAATGAGTAAACCATATGTAGGATGCTGACATGAATTTGATAAAAAATTATCAATACTGCAGACATCAAATTCCATTATGGAAAAAAAAACATCAGACCTCATACAAATCTACCAAGTGCATACAGCATATTAACAACATTGAAATTTTGGGTATCAAACATTTGGAATAATATAAAAAAAAATCTTTTCATTAAAAAAAAAAAGACAGAAAAGCCAAACACATTTGAACAGTTGTGCTTTGTGACACTACTTACAGCTGATGGGCTCTTGGCTACAGGTACCTTAGCTTTCTTCTGTAATTTAAGGCCATTTGTCCATAGTGTAATTTCCAAACGACAAAAATGTTTCTCTATATTTCTCGTTTTCCTGAACTTAATTCCGGTTAAGCACAAGTGCATACAGCATATTAAACAACATTTACATTTGAATTTAAACATTTTCAAAAACTGTAAAAATCATTTAAAAGAGACTTTGACTAGCTGTGCTGTGTGATATTACTTACAGACACGGGGCTCTTTGTCACTGGTACCTTAGCTTTCTTCTGTAATTTAAGGTCCAATGTGTGTTATGTAATTGACAAAGTTATCTCCCTTAGAATAATTCTCTTCATTGTTTCACACTTTAGACATCAATACCCTAAACTCATCATCTCCCCCACATAAAGTTGTCTCCCCTAAAACAATCGTTTCTCTCTCATGTAGTATGAGACAAATTCTACACTGCTCAAAACTGTTCATAATGACTACTATTTCTTTGCAGCATCTAAAATCACAAATATGATAAACCAATAAACCAGTCTTCTGTGTTTGTAGTCAATATTTCATACTCCAGTATATCCCACTTGGTTTTCCAGTTTTTGAGAGTGTAAACAGCCAACCCAATTACACCATATTTGCCTGTATAACCCACAGGTGTAACAGAGTAATTGAGTGTAGCACAATTAGTGAATTATTTTCAAGATTGGTGAAATATGTCACACCATACAACTGGCAAACTTAATCAATGGAGCAAACAGCACTGCTTCTTTCTCTTACAATATCAATTACAAACTACAGTATTTCCACTTTATATATATATATCAAACGATGCTCAAGAGTTGCCCTTGTTAAATAAGGTAAAGCTGAGGAAGAGTCTGTATTAGTGAGAGACAATGTAGTTACAACAGCTGATAGACAAAGCAGAACCACAGTTTGCCACTCTACTAGATAAGGTACTAACTTAATTAACCATAGGGCAAAATTCTTGGTCAAATAAAACTTCAAAACTAACAAAACCAAAAAATTGAACATTAGGTAAATAAATTAATATGATCTTAATATGTTTTAAAACATTTTTAACACAGAATAGAGAATAAAACATAAACGTGTGACAAAAAATTTGTTAAATTTTTGTGTGAATTTTGGTGACTCAGATTTTAATCACAAGTAAACTTTCTGCTTTCTGTACTGAATTCTTTGCTTGAATTATTTCGGAAGTTCATTTCAGAAGTTTTTCTAAATCATTGCACAGATTAATGACTAATTGCCCTCACATTCTATGGCTGTTTTAAGAGAAACGTTTGACTTTTACATAAAAAAAATTATCACAGTAATGTAGTCTTAAGGACACTTATAGCATTCATCATTGGAGATCATTCCAGTTATCATGGTCTGGGTGTGTTGGGTGGCGAAGAGTTGTTATACCAAAGGTATCAACAAACATGGCAAAAAGTCTAGCATGCTGTGACAAAATAGCGCTTTGAAAAAGTGGGAAATGACTTGTCTCACCTGGATAGTAGTGGCTTTGCACACTTTTGTAGCCTTTTTCTTTTTCGAGGTTGTTTTTCCCTGGGTATACTGTGTGATCAAACACAAAAGTTCATCAGGTGTTGTCACCTCATACAACTAGGTCCACCTTGGTGTAGGAATCTACCCACCGCAACCAACCTCAAATACATGCCCATTCTATCCCCCCTGGGTAACACAACCATCCCTCTCACTAATACCCTAACAAAACCATCTCACTAATACCACAATCTCAATAACGTAGCAGCATACCTCTCCTTAACCTCTCAGAGCCATCCCTCTGAATCGTTAACCAAACAAGTCCATTCATTTTCCAATAGCACTTTAACAAGACAATATATTGCATACTTTGATATAAAAAAAAAGTGTACAAGGGCCAAAACTGTGTATATAGTCGGAGTACACAACCTAACTTTAATGCATGACACTCCCCCATCCATAATGGTATTCACATATATAATTCCTTCGTGGTAACTCTCCCTAATCTCTGAAACAAGACAGTACCTCCCACCCCACCCCCAACCTTCAATATGTATAACTACACAACCATTCCCACCCCTGATCTTGGTGACCTAACAGAACCTCCCCAAACCTCTGTTAAATCTTTAGAAACGTGCAAATCAGTCATTACTTGACAAATTTCCATAAAAAGTATTGGTGACCTTGACCTTAACCTTTGAACCCTGAAATACAAACTCATTTGTAGTATTTTCATATTGACCTTGGTCTAGCATTGTATCAAACCCACTTAGAAATGAAGTTGCTTGAGAGGTGACACTAAAGTGGAGTAGGGTGGGATATACATGGGTAACAACATACCCCCTAAAAAATATAGGGGGGGGGGGGGGCACAGAAAAAAACTCAGAACAATCCCCCCTCTCTAATCTCTTTAACAAACCTGTCCCTCCCTTGTTATAAAGAGGCCTGACCATGCCTCTTCATCAATAAACCATGTAGTGCATCATCTGCCAGATTAATGAGAACCCTTAAAATATAGAAACGGAATGAAAATATGTCTGTCACATCTAGACTCATGACAACAATGGGATTGTATTTGAACAAACAGCTAAGTTCCAACAGGTGACTAAGGGTATCAGTCAGCCTGACCACTGTCTTTAGCTGTTTCTAGGTAGCTATATTCACAATGACCTTATAATTATCCTCTTCCAATACATAACCAAAGAAACACACATAACAGATAATCTTCTGGCAGTAAATAAATTTGGGAGAAAACATAATAAACCTATATGTTGGGAAATGAACAGATGATACCCTATAACAGACACATGAGGAACACTACACTATTGCTTGGAAGGTGTAGCTCTAGCCTAGATGTTGAGGAGGGGGGATGAAGAGAATGATGAGGATGATGACAGGGTGGTAATGACACAGTAAACAGGTCGGCTGATTGCACACAACTCTAGCACTGTAGCAGTCGTGACACTTGCCAGAATTCATCACACACAATCACAAAATTTAACAATTTTTCAAAAACTTTTGGCAAGAAAATACATGGTATTAATTAAAACAGAATTCTGTATGTAAGACATCCAAATGTCTAGCAAAAATATCATGCTCGGCTAGTGTATTTCCCAAATGTACATGTTATATTAGATGTGAATGTATTAATAAGTAAGCTTATTTTTAGCCATTACTACTAATAATTTGTTTTTAAATGTTACCCAAAAAACCTGCACATCAACCTCTTTTTTAACAAATGTTACATAACTGGCTCAAACTTGCACACCCAAACAAAGAGAAATGATGCTGCCATACCTCAACGACTGTGTGCAGCGGTGGGCGCGCTCCTATCTGTTGTTGCTGCTGCTGCTGTTGCTGTTGACGAAGTCGTTGCTGCATGTAGTTGTCATATTCCTGACGAGCAGATGCAGTAAGGCGTATTGTGCCTGGCCCCCCAGGTATACGAGGCTGGAGTGCTCCTACCATCACTGTGTCTGGCACCCCTGTGGTAGGGGAGGGCTGGCTAGGTACGGGAGGCTGGACTGGTAGGCCAAACCGTTCCTAAGTGTCAAATAGCCAATGTTAGAATCAGGAAAAGCAGGGTTCAACACTAACACTAGTCGTCAAGTCGGAGACTAGTGGAACTCTGCAAGGACTAGTGGATTACCTTAACTAACTGATTTTAACTAACTGGTCCTTTGGACTTGTCTAGAATTATGCTGTCACAATATCATTTGAATGATTATAAAATCAGATTATTCCATTTGGAAAACTCCATAAAATACAGATTTACTGCATGAGAATTATCAAAATTTACTAAAACTTCATCATATCTTAATGACAGCAGTTTTGTATGTCCCCTATACAATCGATTACTTTTATGTTTTATTTGCTGGAAATGTTTCCTTATGGAAATCTTGGACTAGTTTAGGTTTACACAGGACCATCAAGCAAAAATAGTTAGTTTCTAACCCTAAAAAGTTATCCTATTTTATGTTACATTATGAAAATATTCTTCAGTTAGAGAAAAGAAACTAAAAAATTTGAATGCATTAATTTTTATTTTCCCAAATATCAATCACCAAAGAACAATATGAAGCTAAAAAGAAAGAAGGAAGTCAGCCCATTAGGTATTTTGGGAAACTCTGCAGTATTTTACAGTTGTTTTGGCTGATTCATTAACTTTGTTTATTTTTCCATTAAGTGATTTCCCTTCTGACACTGGAGACAGGTTACAGACATGAGTGTCTTACCCTCTTCTTAGTCCTGTACTCCTGAGCCTGCATTTGATGTGTGCGGAACTGCTTGCGGAGGCCTTCCAGCTGCTTCTGGAGCATAGACTGTTCCTGTGTGACGCGCTCTAGCTCCTGTGTGTCCTGAATAGGTACCTCTTTGTTTGCTTTCTTGGCCTGCACAAACAATATCATACTTTTTTTTATGTGGTGATTGGCATTTCTAAGGGATTGGTTATTCCTTGTAGCAAATTTTGATGAGTTGGATAGGTGTTCCTACTTACTTCGACAGGATTTATTACATCATGTCTATTTGGTCACTTTTCACTTAATATCACTTGTAAATTGGTCTTATCACTTAACGTCAGACATGACAGGTTTCAGCAACGTTTTTTAGTATAACTTTTGAAAAAAGGCTACCAAACTAAAGAAAAAACACTACATTAAAAGGAAACACATTTTTTTTTTATATATATAATATTATGTGTATTTTTTTTCTTAGAAGAAATGTAGGTAGTTGTTATAGTAAATGAACTTTTCAAACTAAGACTTACAGATCTGCCTCTGGCATTGATTGCTTTTTTGGTGCGCTTGCACTTATTGATCTGCTGTTCCAGGGCCTTGACCTGCATTTCCAGGTACTGACTTTGTTTGACGAGCCATTCCTCGTACTGTAGATGTTGGCGCTCCAGCTCAGGATTCAGCTCACCTACATTACAATAATTAAGGCATGTTTTAAACTTCTTAAAAGCAATGATAATTTTCCCATATACAGGTATCTGAAGTGAGATTTAGTTCACATGTTGCAGGTTATTTTCTGACACTAACATACTTGCCAACTCTCCCTATTTAGGAGGCAGACTCCTGATTTTGAACCTTTGAATTTAACATCTTCTTCCAGGGAATTTGCGCAACTATCGAAATATTTTCTAAGATCTAAAGATTTCAACTGAGACCAACTCAAATAATGTCATTTTAAAGAGCCATTCTGTGTCTAGGAGCTATATACACCCATTTTATTTATGTTTATAATTTTGAGCATGTGGAACCTCCCCCAAGTCAATTCCAAAAAGTTGGCAAGCATGCACTAATTCACATGAAAACACATTTCTTTGGACAGCTTTTTAAAACTTAAGCCGACAGACTGTATTAACCACAGAAGAATATTTGTCCATGTGTTTGATTGCAGATTGACACAAGAACCTACCTTGCATGGGTGGTACTGGTGGTGGAATTGGGGGAGGAGCAATGCCTGGTCCCCCTGGTCCCCCTGGTCCCCCTGTGTTTGGTCCTGGCCCTTGCCCTGGCCCCTGTTGAGGTGGCACTCCAGGGGCAAACTGCCTCATTTGTTGTACTGGCATGCGTACACCCTGGTTAACACCTGGAGGAAAGCCTGGTTTGCCCTGCTGAGGTGGACCGCCTTCTGACGGGCCAAACATACGGGGCCACTGATTTGGATCACTGGAAGAAAAGCAATCATTGTTTCAATCTCTTGGCTCATGAAATAATGACCTATCTTTCCTGAAAATATTTTAAAAATTTGATTCTGCAGAACCTTTCTCTGCACATTTAGTTTGCATTATTTTAAAAAATAGAATGGCTACCAAAATAGAATGGCTACCAAAATAATAGAATGGCTACCAAAATAGAATGGCTACATTTAATGATTTAAAGTACTTGAAATAGTTTGCATGTACATTCAGGGAATAAAGAAAAAAAATCATGATACAGTCTGTAAGTGACCTAAAAAGTTACAAATATACAAGATTAAGTACACATACCGCAGACTCAAATTTAAGTCAAGTTACTATGTAAAATATGTATGTTTATAACTAATAGAAACTGTAATCTTGCTCTTTGACCTAGTGACCTGAAATGCCTTGTTAATATATGTGTAATAAGTTGGAACATTCTATATACAATGAACCTCATATTAGCATGACTTTCCCAAGCATTATACCAATGATAGCTATGTTACACACTGACCAATCAGTTCATCCTAAGCAACTGTCATGTGAAATGTACAGATAGAAAGTCGGTTTACCCTGGATGTTCCATCCTGGGGCGATATCCCTGCATTGGAAAACCTGGGGGACGCTGCATGCCCTCCATACGTGGTATACCTCCTGGAGGCATCGCCCCTGGTGGCATGCTTCCTGGTGGCATGCCTCCCTGAGTCATGCTTCCTGGTGGCATGCTTCCCGGTGGCATGCCTCCCTGTGGCATGCTTCCCGGTGGCATGCTTCCTGGTGGCATGCCTCCCGGTGGCATGCTTCCTGGTACCATGCTTCCTGGTGGCATATTTCCTGGTGTCATAACTCCCTGTGGCATACTACCCGGTGGCATTCCTTCCATGCCACCTGGGTTGTCACGGCGATGTAGTATTGCTTGCTGCTGGGCTTGTCTTTGTTGCTCTTGTTTCTCCTACACAGAAAAACATAAAATGTTAAGGTCATCAAAATGATGCTAAAGTTTAACTACATCCTATACCTCATATTTTAACAAAAAACAAAAACTTTAATGATCCTTAGTTTGATAAATAGTTTAGTAATGATGATATCCATAAAGCAAAGACAAAAAAACCTGAATAATTTCAATACCTTACCCACAATAATTACTATTTAAGGTATGTGTATATGTGCAGTTACACGTGAAATGTACAAAATCCTCATCATATCTCTCAGTAGATTTCAAACACAAATGTTGTTTTTGTAAAATGTGAAAACCTTGAAGGAAACAGGATTTTTTTTTTTTTTTGATTTGCAGACAGAAAAAGTCAATATAATGAGGATATGCTGGAGATCTGAATACATGTAAGTAAGCAAAACTCAAGTGACAGAAGCATCAACAGACCAAAGAGACCAGGCCAAAACTTGTAAGGATTAAGTATGCTAAAAATGTCTCAATATCTCTTCTAATAGTAATCCTTGGATGCAAATTCCCCTCTTTCTCATCTGTCATTTCTTGAAATTAAGAATCCAAATATTCCAGGTTTTGGTAAATATGTCTAAACTCGCCTGTTCTGGATTCCAGGAGCGTGTGCCAGAACCAAAAACGTTTTTCTGCGTATTGACCAAGGATTTCTTTTCCAGTACCTGTTTATAAAGAATGAAACCATAGAATTTCATCACTCGCTGGGGAATTCCAAAGAAGTGACCATGGATACCTTTTTGTTAAAATCAAATTTGATGTTTTAAAGCATACTATCCCACAAATTTCAACTTTGAATCTTCGAAAGTTATAGAAAATAATGTTTAATGATCTGGAGACAACTATCCATTGGCCTCTGAATTTCCCCCGAGAGTTTAAGCAGAACCCAGAACATGAATCATAGCATACTCCTAAAGGAGGCACATAGGTGTGCGATTAAAGTCCAACTGTCAGTAAATTTGGTTTTATATCAAAATGGTTTAGGTAAGGTCTAGTAAAGACTAAACACATTAATGTAAAAAGTTTCATTTTTAAATAATACATTTTTTCCACTATTCAATTTGTTATGTTGACGTTGGGAGACAGATATGATCCATGTTACAAAACATAACAGTAAATAAAATCTTCAACAACGACTCCCCATCCACCATGCATCACAATACCAGATACTTTGCGGTAAAATCATTCTTGTGTCCACTTTCAATGATTTGGCTTGGTCCCTTCAAGCAGTCAAATTAATAGCAGTGAGCACAAAATAATGAAATAATTAAACACAAGTTAACTGGTCCCATTAGCTTGAATCACGAAACAAAAGAAACTTGAAATAAATACAAGAACACACATACAAGTCTTGTGTTACTTAGGACAATTTCTGTTTTGTTGTAATCCACCGACTGGTAAATTTTTTCTAAATCTCCCATCTTGTAGTAATTAGTATTTATCAAAATATACATCTGGTTTTAACAGAAATAAAGCAAATTGTAATTGAAGGAGAGGTACCTTCAATAGATATGTAAACTATGTATAAGTGATCGCAAGTGACTGTAACACCCAATATAATACTGGGATCTGGGTAAGGAAAAAATGCAATACAATTTCTATTCTAAATTTCATCATTAAACCTGTTTTTTCTATACACAGAACAACAGACAGATTGCTGTTAATGAGTTAGTCCCCTTTGATCTCTCTTTAGCTGTCTAAGGTGACTAATGTGATGTGAAGGTGAAGCCTACAAACTAGTGTGTTAGCACGGTGACAAACCTGATCGAGCAGGTCCTGTATCAGTAGGGGCTGGTCTTGTAAGAGTCGGACCTTGGACTGGGAGGTTGATGTTGCTGTAGGGGTAGGGGGTCTCATCCCTTGCATTCGCATGCCTGGGTGTCCAGGGGGACCAGGAGGCTGATTCGGCCCTGGCACTCCCATCATAACACCTTGGGGGCGAGGACCCTGCATGTTACCCTGGTACATGGAAACAGGAACCTGCTGCTGGTTCTGAAACTGCATAGCTTGTTCTGGGGTGACTCCCTCGGGAAGCGACACCCTTGGCATCCTCATGAGAGGCGTTCCACCAGGTGAGGTCATCTCCATGTGCTGTTGTTGATGTTGATGATCCATTGGCTGTGGCGGCCCTTGCTGAGGCATACCCTGTGAGGTAAACGGCATTCGAGGTCCTGGCATTCCAGTAGGACCCTTGCTTATCTGCTGGGCAGCAGATGACTGGCCATAAAGGATGCTGTTAGGAGTGGGCTGGAGAGTGGTGGCACCCCTAGGGGGTACTGGCATCATTGGCTGACCATATGTGCCTTGCATGTACTGGTTGGTGGGGGTGATGGTTCCACGGGGTGACCGCTGGCCTGGTGCCTGGGAGGCAGACATGGGTGACGGCTGTGACATGGCTCCAAAAGGCGACTGGCTGTTGCCGGGGCTCCCTGTCACAGGGATGGTGAATGGTGATTGAGTCCTCCCTGGGGGTCCATACGGGGACTGGGGGGCAGACGATGTCGCAGGAGGGGCGCTGAATGGGGAATGAGCCGCTGTTGTAACTGGTGGAGAAAATGGGGATTGAACTGCTTGTGAGAAGGGAGACAACTGCCCACCAAGACCAGATTGCTGACTGAATGGCGATGGAACATTAGGTGTCCTTGGAGATGGAATGTTGCTTTTAGGTGATGGTAAGACCTTTGGTGAGGGTAGGCTTGGTGTTCCCGGACTTTGCTGAGGGTACTTTCCCGCTGTTGAAGAGGGTGAGGGTTGCGTATGAGAACCTGGATACACTTGAGCCATCTGGTGAAGAGGTGAAGGCATTCCTGAACTGTAAAGGGGACGTGATGGAAGTTGCATGCCAGCTTGTCCCATAGGGGACAGATCCATACCCAGACCTAAGGGTGTCCCTGACGGGGTGCGGGGCAGGAGATCTTTTCCCAAAGATCCACTATCTGACTTCTGAGAGTCACGCCGCTCCAACTGTGGACGCATGTGGTCTGTGTTCTGTAGAATGGCAGCTATCTGACTCTTGTTTTTGTTTTTGTCTGCCTCCGTTATAGGGGGCTTCTGATCCGAGGGACCTGGGGTACCATCCGCATGGCGCTCCTCCTGCTTCCTCTGACTGAACTCCAGAAACTTAGCCTGGAAATCAACGGCTCCCATGGCTGTTACAGACTTGGGGCCTGTTTCTGTTTTATCGTCCTCCATCTTTATAGATTCCGGAGTCTCTGTCACTTCTTTCTCTTCAGGTTTGATGGACCTGGGGGCGTCCATTTCACTCTTGACCTCTGACTCTGAATCATCTGCCTTACTTTCCTCTACAAGGTCATCAAGTATACTTTTGCCTTGATCATCCAAGTCAAAGTCCAGCTCGGGGTCGGCATACTTCAAAATGTCAAATGAGCCATCATTGTCTGAAAGAACAAACATATGAGAATGTAGAGATTGTTTGGATTTCTATTAATTTCAGAGTGCGATAACAATATATATAGAAAACAATAATGTTTCTATACATGTTACCATTTTATTATTGCATACTTTGCTGAGACTGTAAGTGACGGAAGCACCTCATTACCTCCAGAAACAATCATTAACAATAAAGTAAGCAAAGTCACTTTTCAGTGTGACAAAGCATTATGTTATGCTACGTATATCATAAAATGTCATTTATTGGTTAACACCAAATTCTCATTGGACTTCTCAGGGCCTTATAAGGGTTTAAATATCATCAAGAAAAGTAACTTTATAGCTTTTGCCAATCCTACAAATCCTTGACATCTCCTTCTTAAACTAAACTCACCTAGCAGGTCACTAATATTCTCGTCCTCTGTGTCTTGTTTCTCATCTTCTGATGACATCACCTGTTTCTGAGTCTTCATCACTCGCCCAGAAACCTCCTCAGTTTTCCCTGGTAAGGCCTCTTTCTGTTCAGTTTTCACTTGAGGTTGTTGTACCGGGGGAATTCCTGCAGGTATTGGCTGTCCTTGACTCGGAGGTCTGTTGGGGTCAAACGGCATCTTTGGCAGGTCACCAGCGGGGCTAAACTGTTCAAAACCAGGGGGAGGCTGTACCCCTGGGGTGGCAGGCCCGGGGGTGGGAGGCTGTGGCTTGCCAGAGTTAGGTTGTTGTCCGGGTCGAATGCGCTCCTGCACCAACTGGAGTAGCTGAATATATAAAAATCCAGGTTCTTTTCAATGTTTTCTATAGCAACAAAATCATTTTGAATTAATTTAACCACATAACAATATAGTTAGTGTTTACCCCAAAAGTTGACGAAGGACGTAGTGGGACACAACATCCAATTCAGTACTCCACAATCCACCTTCCCAAGAGCAAGTTTGGTAAACATAGATGAAATAGTAAGGAAGCATCCTGGTAGTGTTACATACCTGTGGTTTATAGACTGCATGCTGGCCTGGCACAGGGGACATTTGAGGAGAAGAGCCCCTGGGTGAGAACTGGTTGTGTGGAGATAATGGCCCAGGAGGGCGGGGCTGTCTCATGACTCCAGGTACACCAGGCCGTGCCCCTTCAAACTGGCCTCGCAGAAACATTTCCATATCTACAAAATAGCATTATAAATTTGTATACAGAATTATCAATGACCTCAATCAAATTATCAAAGTGAAAAATATTTTATACAGATTTTCAAATTAATCATCAAATATCGTTAGGTATCAGGTAGAATTTGTTTCATTTCCTTAGTCATATTTGAGGAGCTAGATAGCCTGATAGATCCTCATATGTGATGGTGATGAAGATGGGCTAAAATCAAGTGTTCTGGAGCTCACAAAGACACCAGATATATTCCCATTACCCCCGAAATTGGTAACACTTGATCTTTGACCCTTTAACCTCCACTAAGTGATGACCACCAAACCCTAATCAGGTGTAGAACCCTTCATTACTATACTCTAAACATAATGTAGACCTTGATGCTACCATATAATGGTGTAAATATAAACTAAATCTGCTGAGGTATTCATCCAACCTTTCCACTAAAACACCCTGACAAAGCCATCATTACCCTCCTACCCTACCTAGGTGAGGTATAAAAAGGTGCCATTGGAATGGAAATTCAATTCCCTTATATATGAAATAAGATTTCTGAAAAATAGACGTTCTTGTTATTTAATGGAATCTGTAAATATCCTGATGACTAGAGAAATATCTAGTGTTTCCCATTTGTACATGTGGTGGTGCCATTTAAAATCATAGTGGGTTGCCTCCACTTGTTTGAAATGCCCCTCACATCATATGACTCATACAGACTGAATGCAAACCTTATTTTTACCTTAATAATAAATTTTCTACAAAACGCAAAATTGGTTCAGACACAAAAATGTCCCTCAGCATGAAAAGCAATCATTTTGTTACAATATTAACAATGTCAGCTAGAGGTGCAATGCAAAAAAACATGGGCTGTTGCCATTTTATCGCATTCAGAGTATTCCGAGTAACCTCCTGTAAGTCATGTGATCCTTTTGAATTGGAGCAAATATAGCCTTACATAGCAATTTGATTACTAGTCACATATAAAATCATGCCATATATCTTCTCAAAGATATAGGTCGTCTGCCAAAGGTGCTTTGTACCTGGAGGCCTGAACTGCCTTGCCTGCGGAGGTCTCACCATCTGCTGCTGGTTGTGGGCCCACCTGTCCATCCCAGGATTTTGACCACCAGGACTAGGGAAGCGTGGCCCCTCTTCAGGCGAGAAACCACCTGGACCACCTGAGAGGAATACATTACTACAACTGTACACCTTATCAGTAAATGTTTCTTCAACCAGGAAATGGTGAAGAAGATCAGCCAGACAGCATCAACTTTATAAGCACATTCTTATTTTCATTGTTTTCTACCTATCTGACCCGAAGATAAAAGGCAGGGTGCAATTCAGAATTACAATGAAGTAAATACAACTTGTGGTAAGCATAAAGTAGACCACATTATCTACTAGGTCTTACCTGAGTGAAGGACAGAATATTATTAAGACTTAATGGATAGAGTAGGAAATGCCTTATTTATTATAGCTAACAAGAGAAAGACTTACTGGAGACAGTAGAGGCCTTATTCATAATGACTTACCAGAGAGATGAGGATGCCTTATTCATTATTACTTATCAGAGAGATGAGGATGCCTTATTCATTATTACTTACCAGAGAGATGAGGATTCATTATTCATTATGACTTACCAGAGAGATGAGGATGCCTTATTCATTATTACTTATCAGAGAGATGAGGATGCCTTATTCATTATAACTAATCAGAGAGATGAAGATGCCTTATTCATTATAACTAATCAGAGAGATGATGATTCATTATTCATTATGACTTACCAGAGAGATGAGGATGCCTTGTTCATTATGATTTATCGATGAGATGAGGATGCCTTAATTATTACGATTTACCAGACAGAGGTGAGGACGCCTTATTTTTTACAATTAACCAGAGAGAGAGGAGGAAACCTTATTCATGATGACTTACTGGAGAAAGGAGAAGACGTTGTACCTGTGAAGAAAGAGCAGAAGGCATGTTATCTATCAAGAGAGAGAGAAGGCATGCTATCTATCGAGAGAAAGAAGGCATGTTATCTATCAAGAGAGAGAAGGCATGTTATCTATCAAGAGAGAGGAAGGCATGTTATCTATCAAGAAAGAGCAGAAGACATGTTATCTATCAAGAGAGAGGGGAAGGCATGTTACCTATCAAGAAAGAGGGAAAGGTATGTTATCTATAAAGAAAGAGGGGAAGGCATGTTATCTATCAAGAGAGATGGGAAGGCATGTTATCTATCAAGAGAGAGGGGAAGGCAAGTTATCTATCAAGAGAGAGAAGGCATGTTATCTACCAAGTGAGAGAAGGCATGTTATCTATCAAGAGAGAGGGGAAGGCATGTTATCTATCAAGAGAGAGAAGACATTTTATCTATCAAGAAAGAGGGGAAGGCATGTTATCTACCAAGAGAGAGAGAAGGCATGCTATCTATCAAGAAAGAGGGGAAGGCATGTTATCTATCAAGAAAGAGGGGAAGGCATGTTATCTATCAAGAGAGAGAGAAGGCATGTTATCTATCAAGAGATGGGGGAAGGCATGTTATCGATCAAGAAAGAGGGGAAGGCATGTTATCGATCGAGAAAGAGGGGAAGACATGTTATCAATCAAGAGAGAGAGAAGGCATGTTATTTATCAAGAGAGGGGGAAGGCATGTTATCTATCAAGAAAGAGGGGAAGGCATGTTATCTATCAAGAAAGAGGGGAAGGCATGTTATCTATCAAGAGAGAGGGGAAGGCATTTTATCTATCAAGAGAGAGGGGAAGGCATGTTATCTATCAAGAAAGAGGGGAAGGCACGTTATCTTTCAAGAAAGAGGAGAAGACATGTTAAATATCAAGAGAGAGGATAGTTTATTATTACAACTTACCTGGATGAGGAGATGGCAGGCCAGTGGGTGGAACTCCTTCCTCCGACATCTGTTTGTTTATCATCTCCATCTTCTTTTGCTGCCGTTTCTTGGTCTGTTCAGCCAGAATATCTCTCACCTGCTGCGGGTGAATGTGTTTGTCCATACCTCCACCGCCACCCTACACAGGGGAAACAATCCTCACTTAACATCTCACAGCACTTGTATGGCTGTCAAACTCTCTAGCTCCTCAACAAACTAGACACTTCATACTGTATGTCTAGCTCCTCAACAAACTAGAGACTTCATTCTGTATGTCTAGCCCCTCAACAAACTAGAGACTTCATTCTGTATGTTAAGCTCCTCAACAAACTAGAGACTTCATTCTGTATGTCTAGCCCCTCAACAAGCTAGAGACTTCATTCTGTATGTTAAGCTCCTCAACAGACTAGAGACTTCATTCTGTATGTCTAGCTCCTCAAAAAACTAGACACTTCATACTGTATGTCTAGCTTCTCAACAAACTAGACATTTCATTCTGTATGTCTAGCTCCTCAACAAACTAGACACTTCATTCTGTATCTCTAGCTCCTCAACAAACTAGACACTTTATTCTGTATGTCTAGCTTCTCAACAAACTAGACACTTCATTCTGTATGTCTAGTTCCTCAACAAACTAGACACTCCATTCTGTATATCTAGCTCCTCAACAAACTAGACACTTCATTCTGTATGTCTAGTTCCTCAACAAACTAGACACTCCATTCTGTATATCTAGCTCCTCAACAAACTAGACACTTCATACTGTATGTCTAGCTCCTCAACAAACTAGACACGTCATACTGTATGTGTAGCTCCTCAACAAACTAGACACTTCATTCTGTATGTCTACCTCCTCAACAAACTAGACACTTCATTCTGTATCTCTAGCTCCTCAACAAACTAGACACTTTATTCTGTATGTCTAGCTTCTCAACAAACTAGACACTTCATTCTGTATGTCTAGCTCCTTAACAAACTAGACACGTCATACTGTATGTCTAGCTCCTCAACAAACTAGCCACTTCATACTGTATGTCTAGCTCCTCAACAAACTAGACACGTCATACTGTATGTCTAGCTCCTCAACAAACTAGACACCCCATTCTATATGTCTAGCTCCTCAACAAACTAGACACTTCAAACTGTATGTCTAGCTCCTCAACAAACTAGACACTCAATTCTGTATGTCTAGCTCCTCAACAAACTAGACACGTTATTCTGTATGTCTAGCTCCTCAACAAACTAGACACGTCATACTGTATGTGTAGCTCCTCAACAAACTAGACACTTCATTCTGTATGTCTACCTCCTCAACAAACTAGACACTTCATTCTGTATGTCTACCTCCTCAACAAACTAGACACTTCATTCTGTATATCCAGCTCCTCAACAAACTAGACACTTCATTCTGTATATCCAGCTCCTCAACAAACTAGACACTTCATTCTGTATTGTCTAGCTCCTCAACAAACTAGAGACTTCATTGTGTATGTCTAGCCCCTCAACAAACTAGAGACTTCATTCTGTATGTCTACCTCCTCAACAAACTAGACACTTCATTCTGTATGTCTACCTCCTCAACAAACTAGACACTTCATTCTGTATATCTAGCTCCTCAGCAAACTAGACACTTCATTCTGTATGTCTAGCTCCTCAACAAACTACAGACTTCATTCTATATCTCACACTCCAAGAATTCTTCCATTAGTTAACAATGACATCAATCATTCCCTTCAAATGTGAAATGAGAGTATGAACCAGTCTTTTCAAACTTTTGTAAAAATTGTTTGACTTATATACGGAGTGCTGAGTATTTCAATACATGTTGAGAATTTCGGAGTACAGTATAACCTTGATATATCGCCACCCGTTGACCGCCAAACACATATACCGCTATTAATTTTGTCAGAACTGATTTCCCCACACTTAAATGCACCCATTGTACTGCCAAACTCAGGTATCGCCATATGCCACAATGTTTTGAGAACAGTCGTTCAAATACCCCTTTGTTTGCCCCCGACAACACCGCCACGCTCCATCAAAGAAATGTACCTATATCGTTGATTTCACAGTTGACTCAGCCCTGGGGGTCAGTTTTAGATGTTGTAATTACGTATAGTACGTGTGTCTAATTAATTTATTAATTTACATCTGAATACAATTTACCATATATTACCTCTGTCGGTTATTTATTCATTCATTCACATCATATGGCTTCTCACATGGCTTCTAAAAAAAAGGAATCGGTTGTGAAGATATTCAATTCATTTTACAATTAAACGTCGGACTGTGGATGATAATTAGACCAACAAATCTAAATTGATTTGATGATACCGACGGGACAGTGCCGTTGTGCTCATCCTGCGAATACTGTATTTTTTGCCACCTGACTGTGACGTACCGCATCTGGCTATCACAGATAAAGGTGCGGGTGCGGATTTCAGCGATCGCCATGTTACAACAAGTCCAAGCGGACTTGATCTCGATCCCGATTTACGTTTGACTATGAGACAGTTTATTGAAATGATCAGATGCTTGCAACCAACTCAGGTATCAACAGTAGAGAAATGTGAATATTAGTACCGCTCTGCAGACATTACTTGACGATTGTAAGTATAACTGTAAATATGTGCACGTAAAACTGACACTCTCTCCGCGGTACTCGTAAAGTGTATATCTTGGGCTATGTGCCCAAAAACAAACGAGCGTTAATCCACAACTCGTTGTACTGCCAAACTCGTACCGCCAAAATGACTTTGACCGGAAGGTGGCGGTATATCAGGTTATACTGTATTTCAATACATGTTGAGAATTTCAATACCTTATGATGAGAATTTACCATAATCTGTATGTGTATATTTTATGTTTGAACCAACGACATGTATTACTTGTCCAAATCAATCAACAAAAATAACAAACAGGTTCAAGTAGGAAACAAAAGCATAATATTCTCAAGAATTTAAGAGAAAAAACAGGAAAGTTATGACAACTGAACAAACAGTAATTAGCTTCCCACAGTTATTAAGTAGGCACTATTGTTAACTTTATAAAATAATTTCAAAACCTATTCATCAAACTTTTAGTATATCAGTTTGCTGTTTTGCAACTTATTAGTGGCAAATGCATTACCAAATAAAACCTTAATGTTGATAGCTTAATGAAATTATCTCTGGAATCTTAGAGTTTTCAAGTCTCTATAACGTTATTGTTAGGGGGTTTAAATACTACCCCTCTAACTTCATTGTAAAAGGGTTTAAATACTACCCTCTCTAACCTATTGTAAAGGGGTTTAAATACTACCCTCTCTAACTTCATTGTAAAGGGGTTTAAATTCTACCCTCTCTAACTTATTGTAAAGAGGTTTAAATACTCCCCCCTCTAACTTATTGTAAAGGGGTTTAAATTCTACCCTCTCTAACTTCATTGTAAAGGGGTTTAAATACTACCCTCTCTAACCTATTGTAAAGAGGTTTAAATACTACCCCCTCTAACTTCATTGTAAAGGGGTTTAAATACTACCCTCTCTAACTTATTGTACAGGGGTTTAAATACTTCCCTCTCTAACTTCATTGTAAAGGGGTTTAAATACTACCCTCTCTAACTTATTGTACAGGGGTTTAAATAACACAGGGAGATAAGGCATTGGAGAAATGACTAGGTGATGCAGGCACTGAACAACCAACCTAAGTTGTACTGATCATAACGATTCACTCTCAGACTTATATGTAAATATAGATCATTGAATTCCGGTACAACAAGTGTTAACAACCATAACAACTTGTAGCACCTCAGGCTAGGAGGCTGTTAAACCAGTGGTCAATAACACTTCATACTATATCTATACTGTTATGGGTCAGATAAGTAATATAGACGGTAAAATCCCATATAACACTTCATACTATATCTATACTGTTATGGGTCAAAGAAGTAATATAGACGGTAAAATCCCATATAACACTGGATCCTAATGGAGGTATGTCCGTAGGATACAAATTAGTTAAATTATATATATATACTGTTATATATTCCTCTGTATGTTCCTTATCCATGTATATACTAGCAGGAAAAGAAGAGACAGATTAAATAGGTGCAGATTCTATATATAACAGCACTTCATAATGGTTAACTATTTTGTATACAATGCAATAGCATACCACATATCTATTTAATCTATTATGTCCCTTTATTAACTTAACTTAATTACCGTTTTTTGTGGTCCTCTTTTTTCAAGAACACACGAGCAGTTATATTGCTGTCATATGCCAAATATAAAGACATATCACCAATGGCAGACGACGTACAATTTGTACATAGTCAAAGTCAGATGGTATAAAAGTCAGATGGTATAATGTAACTTGAGGCAATGACAAATAGACTGTGGGAAATTGAAAATTTGTTTGAGGAAAAAACATAAGGATCAATTATCTACGACCTAAACATCAATATTAACACAATAATGAGATGGTCAGACTCGTTATCAGTGTCTTGTCACAGTAGGGAAACTGGTGATGTTTATAGTTTTAGTAAACTAAAGGAAGTTAAGCAGAACTTACCTTAAAAATAATTCTATAGCAACAAACACACTCAACAAAGATATAGCACAGGTACAACGGTTAATTCTTATCGAACTCGAACCACTGGTAAAATGCAGTTACAATACATCAGCTTTATAGGACCTTATCACACCAATGTTCCTAACATGCGAAGTGACTGGACACAACCGCCGCACACCATGTGTTCCGCTGTAAAGCACATCCTTCCAAAATCACGGTGATTAAGCCATAATGTTGTAGTCATGTTAATGGACTACAATGTCTCAGCAAATAAATAACACAACATAATCATGACTACATAACCACATGGCAACCAACTGACAGTCCTAGCAACAGACTGAGCATGCAGGAGACAGGTTCCTAATAAGGAGTTCATAGGCATTATACCATGTCTCGACTTGTTGGGCTACAGTTTACCATGACTGGGTTTGTTGGGGTGACAGTCGTGTACAGTTTACCATGTCTATACTTGTTGGGGTAACAGTCGTGTACAGTTTACCATGTCTCTACTTGTTGGGGTAACAGTCGTGTTCAGTTTACCATGTCTTGACTTGTTGGGGTAATAGTCCTGTACAGTTTACGATGACTGGGTTTGTTGCGGTGACAGTCGTTTACAGTTTACCATGTTTCGACTTGTTGGGGTAGCAGTCCTGTACAGTTTGCCATGTTTCGACTTGTTGGGGTAATAGTCGTGTACAGTTTTCCATGTCTCTACTTGTCGGGGTAACAGTCCTGTGCAGTTTACCATGACTGGGATTGTTGGGGTAACAGTTGTGTACAGTTTGCCATGTCTATACTTGTTGGGTTAACGGTCCTTTACAGTTTAACATGTCTCGACTTGTTTGGGTAACAGTTGTGTATAGTTTGCCATGTCTCTACTTGTCGGGGTAACAGTCCTGTATAGTTTAACATGTCTCGACTTGTTTGGGTAACAGTTGTGTATAGTTTGCCATGTCTCGACTTGGTGGGCTACAGTTTACCATGGCTGGGTTTGTTGGGGTGACAGTCGTGTACAGGTTACCATGTCTCTACTTGTCGGGGTAACAGTCCTGTATAGTTTAACATGTCTCGACTTGTTTGGGTAACAGTCCTGTACATTTTACCATGACTGGGTTTGTTGGGGTGACAGTTGTGTACAGTTTACCATGGCTATACTTGTTGGGGTGACAGTCGTGTAGAGTTTACCATGTCTCGGCTTGTTGGGGTAGCAGTCCTGTCCAGTTTACCATGTCTCTACTTGTCGGGGTAACAGTCCTGTACATTTTACCATGACTGGGTTTGTTGGGGTAACAGTCCTGTACAGTTTACTATTTCTCGACTTGTTGGGGTAACAGTTGTGTACAGTTTGCCATGTCTCGACTTGTTGGGGTAACAGTCCTGTACAGTTTAACATGTCTCGACTTGTTGGGGTAATGGTCCTGTACAGTTTACCATGTCTCGACTTGTTGGGGTAACGGTCCTGTACAGTTTACCATGTCTCGACTTGTTGGGGTGACAGTCGTGTACAGTTTACCATGTCTCTACTTGTTGGGATAACAGTCATGTACAGTTTACCATGTCTCGACTTGTTGGGGTGACAGTCGTGTACAGTTTACCATGTCTCTACTTGTTGGGGTAACAGTCCTGTACAGTTTAACATGTCTCGACTTGTTGGGGTAACAGTCCTGTACAGTTTACCATGACTGGGTTTGTTGGGGTAACAGTCCTGTACAGTTTACCATGACTGGGTTTGTTGGGGTAACAGTCCTGTACAGTTTACCATGTCTCGACTTGTTGGGGTGACAGTCGTGTACAGTTTACCATGTCTCGACTTGTTGGGGTAACGGTCCTGAACAGTTTACCATGTCTCGACTTGTTGGGGTAACAGTCCTGTACAGTTCACCATGTCTCGACTTGTTGGGGTAACGGTCCTGAACAGTTTACCATGTCTTGACTTGTTGGGGTAACAGTCCTGTACAGTTTACTATGTCTCGACTTGTTGGGGTAACAGTCCTGTACAGTTTACAATGTCTCGACTTGTTGGGGTAACGGTCGAGTAGTTTTTTACAGTGGATTAAACAGCACACAAACGTACTGAACACAATTTTGTGTCAATTTGACTCAAATGTCGCTAACTTACTGTGAATAATCAAGACATGGTATTTGCCTATATACCTTATATAGAAACCTTTAGTTTTCTGCTCAACACTAAAGCACTGTTGTCTGATAAATCCAAGAAATAAAACGATGCAAGAACAAAACAAAACATAAAAAAAACAAAAGTTCAAAATAAGGAAAGTCATCCCTACACTTACCAAATAATTGTGCTTAAGTGTGGAAAACATTCCGGAGAAAGGGAATTGTGCGTGGCGTCTACTGGCAGCAGCGAACATCTGCTGTAACTATGGTAACAATGAGAGGTCAAAGGTCAGAGCAGCACACTAGGTTAAACTTGAAGAGAAGTTTTGGTGAGTTACACACAAAAATAGAGAGAAAATAAAACACCACAGAACACAAAAAGCTAATCAAATTAAAATAGGGAGAGACTATCAACTCAAATTAACAAAAAAAGCATTTTAATGATAAAGGATACATAATCTCTCTGTTATTTCTATATTCATTTCAGAATGGTTTCTTCAAATATAAATGACTCGGGAGGTTTTGTTAATATTTGAAAGCCGTAGATTCCTTTAAATGTAATAGTGCGGAATCAGATTTTTAAATCATAAAACATTGGTAATTATGTTGGGGTTTTTCTTTCTTCACTTCGAATTCTTTTAAAGTAGATTTTCGTATAAAAGTGACAAATCCAGAAGAGATAATGTATCCAACATAAAGCTAGTGACTGCAACTTGCTAACATTATAATTTTCATTTATCCTCTACAGCAGCAAGTAAATCAAGTACATGTTCGAGGCACTGAAGTGGTTCTTCTACACGTTAGCTTTTCCATCTGAATTTCTAATGTAAAACAGAAATGCTAGTAATGTGTTTAAAGGATGAAGTAAAATCGTTCATCAACACTTAGCAAAATAACAGATAACCAATCAATATATGTAACACATGCCGTCAATTTCATTCACTGATTATTCTTAAGCAAATTGCAGTCAAATGTTAGAACACATACCAGGTGGTACATACACATAATGTTATATCATATGCACAAGAAACAAATTGCAAATTGTTCCAAAAGTCTAAATGATTTCCAGCCAATTAGTATCGCTAGTCAAGTGCGAGATTTATTTTCTTAATTTTTAATTTGTGTAAAATTCGTTAAAATACCATGCCAAAAAATAGTTTGTAGATAAGTTGCTCCCCTTGAATGTACAGTGTAACAATTCGCAATTAGTCCTTGTGCAGTTTTGTTAAAATTACATCAATGCTAGTATACAGATGCGTCAAAACTACATCAATACTTTTACACTGATGTGTTAAAACTACATCAATACGTTTACACTGATGTGTTAAAACTACATTATTACCAGTATACTAGATGTGCAGGGCAAGGTGGTGAAAACACATTAGTTTTAATCAAATATATATACTAAAGCTATATTAAAATAAAGAATTTGTGCAAATACTCAAATGTGCATATAAATATGTACAATTGCTAGTGATTTTTTTTAACAAATGTCCAATATATATCTCTGTCCATATGTTCAAATGACCAGGATTGCGAGAGAAATTCTTTCTGAATCAGTTAATTGCCAGGGTGAAGTTCTGTTTAAAGAATATTTCTAAATCTTGTCAATGTTGGACGTGTGTCTTTACTATATAGATACCAAACGATGTTCAATGACTACGTTCTGTACCGTTTCTTCCCTTAGGCATACTCATTTTGATCCAAACATCCAGACATTTAATTAAAAAGATCAATTCAAACTGAGGGTTAATGTTAATGTAAATGAGCAGTAAAACTTTCCCGTTAAGTTATTAGAGTAAGTTAAGCCACAAAAACATTACAACATCAACTGTTAGCAAGTGCATACAATAAGTTGTGAAACACAAAATACACAAACGTGCTTTCCTGTTTTCCCCGGAATCTTACCATGGTAACTTTATAAAACAATGTCCTAAAACTTGCCAATTTTCACCACCAAAATGACCACCAAATTGTTTAATTTTAAACTTCCTCAAAAATTTGAAGTTTTTTTCCCCCCTTTTCTAGTAAGAGCAGAACTTTTTGCAGACAGTTGGTTTCACACAATAAATATTTATACGGCCAAACCCATCACCAGTCACAGAAGCTGAATACCAGAAGCAGTACAATGCAGTCCAGCTCTCTGTCCGACAACTTTATAGACCAACAACAAATGCTTAACCATTATTCTTGACATTCATAAAATGAAATTCGAAAAAAAATTAACTTTTTCCAAAAAGGCCTATTAATTTATAAGCCTCACAACGTGGCTACAATTTTAAGTACACTTCAATGCCTACTTAAAGGTTTGTCCTCAGAATAAAAACGTTTGTCTATTATCTTGTAGTGTTACATATAACCGATACTAAAATGTAGTCAATGACCTTTGAAGCTTGTGTATGACATTGGTGTGCTTTGTATGATCTTTGTACATACATTTGGTAAGTTGTGAATGACCTTATTGACTAATGTATTACCTTTGTATGTTGCGTATGGCTTTTGGAAGTTATGAATTAACATATTGCATTGGACATAACCTTGATGAGTTGTGTAAGACCTTGATGAGTTATACAAGACCTTGGTGAGTTGTGTAAGACCTTGGTGAGTTGTGTAAGACCTTGGTGAGTTATGTAAGACTGCCATTAGTTTTAGTGACCTTTGTTAAATGTCGGACAGAGAGATGACACACAAGTGAGATGTGCTGTTCATTCCTCCCAATACTGTACACCATAGTTACAGTTTCCAACCATGCATTAGCACATTTTTAAACAAAACAACCCTGGTACCCTTCACGCCACCTTTAGACTTGTCCAGCTCAAGGATGGACAAATACATTATGGTCGATGGGAAACATGTCAAACCAACCCACAATAGAATGTAACAGTTCTACTGTGGCAACTAGAGAAGAGCAGGTCAACGAAGCTACAAATCACCGTCAAACATACATCAAAGCTGACCACGCCCGACCACAACCTCAATACTGACCACATTCAAAACGCATCACAGTGTGTACACCATGCCACATACTGTGACCATTACCATGCCTACATAATGACACTGGGAACAACATACCACAGAGGGCTCCTTGGGTGGCTCCATACTTCCGTGATGATGTGGCCCTTGTGGCATATGAGACTCCTGATAGCCATGTGGTCTCACTTGAGATGTTGGTGGAACTGGGGCCCGGAATGGGTGGCGCAAAGGCATCCCAAAGGAGTCTGCTGGTGGGATCTGTTGTGCTTGGGGGCCAGACATTGACCGTTGTGGACCTCCTGGCATGTTGGGATGCTGGAGATACCCCTCTGGCCCTGGCTGACCTGGCATTGGCCCTTTTCCTGGTATCATCTGTGTGTAAGGGTCCCCACCAATGGGGCGGTGGCCTACCTGCTGGGGAGAAAGCTCTGCCTTGCCAGTAGAGCGAGGACTATATGATTCTGACACAGGGCGCGGTGTTGGGGGTGAAAAAGCATAGGGATCATCAGGTCGATTCATAGGGCCTCCTGGAGTGGAGGGAGGGTGTGCGTATGGGTCAGACGGTACAGATGTTTGTCTGGACATCATCGGTTTGGCCATGCCTGGGTGCTGTCCTGAACGCGGGGGCCCAGAAGGGTGCTGGGAGAATGGATCAAAGGGCTGAGATGTTGGTGTCTGTGGAGTTGAGGGCGAGGACATGCCCTCCACAGTAATAGGCATCATCGGTCTTGGAGTTGGGACTTGATGCTCATATGGGTCAGATTCCTGGGCCATACCAGGCCATTGAGACTTTGATGGGGACTGTTGAGGTGTGGTTGGCACAGAACCTCTGGCTGTTGACATTTGCTGAGTGTAGGCATCGTTGTCTTGATTGAATAGATCAGGCACTCGTCCCGGGGGCCCCCTGAAGGGTCCCCCGATCTGGTCAGGGGGTAATGAGGAGGGATGGTTGTATGGCCCAGGAGGGCGTGATGAAGCCTCATGTTGAGAGTACATATTTGGTGGACGAGGTACACCTGGATGCTGCACATATAGGTCTTGTGGTCTTTGTTGCATGTTCATACCAGGCTGAAAAGGCCCCTGGGGACGGGGTTGACTAAAGGGAACATGAGGTCTTGGAGTGGAAGGGGCCTGGGCATAGGGATCCTGCGGTCGTATCTGTGGCCGCATCGGTCGAGGGCCCATCCCAGCCATGTCCATAGACATGGGAGTCCCGAGTGGCTGGGCATAGGGGTCCTGGAGGTGCATCATGGACTGGACTCCTTGGTGATTGGGACTCAGTGGTACACCTCCCATCATGTGACTCGGGGACTGACCTTGGAGATCAAGTGTACACACCCATCAGGTCAGTAATACAGATAGTTTTAAAAAATCAGAACAATACCAACATCTGTAAACTAATATGTTACATTTAATTTCCCTAGATTAACTTCCTTGAGTAGGAGATTCATATTAGTAAATTTTTCATATCTATGAAATTTTCCATATTTTATGTTTTTGTTGTTGATATTTTAGATGAAGCAATAACACACATTTTATCAGACGTCTCAGATTGCACAAGTTGTATTGTGGGAAGGGATATATTTCAAGAGGGCTTTAGCGTTAGCAGATACTTAACACTTACCATCTGGTGTCTTTGGTGCAATGATCTGAGAGTTGCTGCTGCTGCGACTCAGAGGGCTACAGATTTCCTGTCCCGGGGCCATACCAGACATGGGCGAGCCAAGGCCTGTGCAATACACCAACTAACACTTATCCTGGTGTCTCATTGATAATTTTATACCGAACATCCAATAATACAAACTAATTAAAAATCTGTGTAAATCTGTGAAGTTTTTGAATAATTGTCACTACTGTATATCAACAGTGAAATACATTATCTGCAACAAAAATGACAACCTTGTAACAGAAAGTGAAAAGGGAAGGGACTTACCGTCCGGTGTAGTAGGCTGTGAGTAAGATGGGATGGGAGGTGGTCCCATAGCTGCTGCGGCTGCTGCAGCCTGTTCCCGTTTAGCCTGCAAGTAAATACATTTCACTGGTAAGCCTTGTGTTCCGGACAATCTTTCATTGTTTTAAAACCAGCAGGTAAATTGAGTTCTTCAACTATATGATATGTAAACAACAGACAGCAGATGATAAGGTTTGACAACAGAACAGAATACGTTAAGGATTTAACTGGTATGGTTTGATTTATATCATGCCTGGAATACAACATACAATTGTAACACAGTCACTTTTTGGCAATAATCTGAACACCTTCCTGTTTTTTCTGGTTAACAATAATACCATTAACTTAACACTCAGGCCAGGTGAGTTACACCAACAAATTCAGAAATGATTTAGGAAGAACTGATGATGTATTACCTTTCTTGCTTTCTGTCCTTTACTAGAAGATCTGTTTTTTCTTGCTTGAAGCTGTAACAAAGTTGTTCAGATGTATAACATAATATACTTTTTTCACATTTTAAATAATGTTATTGAGCTGTCTTCATTCCAAGAAGACTTTTGGATAGGTTTGTTTGTATACAGTTAAAGTAGCATTTAAATGCCTTTAAGCTAAATTCAAGGATTTCCAAGGGTAAAGCGTTAAAAGGCTGTGGCAAATACATGGTATTAGGACTGTATTAATATCTAGTTACACATATACCTACCAGGTAAGGTTGTTTATCATCTGAAGGTAGCTGCCTCCAAATCTTGCCGATCTTCTTCACCCGCTCTTGCCAATCTGTTAAAATAACATTCATCCTTAATTTTCTAGATAGAAACCAAACAAGAGACCCATGCAACTACACATCTCACATCGGTGACCTTCAACGAGGGTCTGAGTTAAATTTACTGGAATCTTAACTTGACAGAAAGCAAGCTAGCACTACAGGTTAAATATCTTTACTCTCTACACATTACAGATCTTCGTTGGAAGAATTTTGTAAGGAGTGTTATTCCAGCAAGCTACATGCTAACTGTTAGCACTCCAGTTCTAAACATGTGACCCAGGGAGCTGTCAAGGGACTTTCATCTACAAACATGACAGACCTTGATCCAAGCAAATTACAAGGCAAAAATCATCAGTCTAGGCCTGGTGTATCTTAAGAATTTGAATAAAGTTGATAAAACATTTTACACTGGTGAACTTGAAAGCATGTCAAGTTAATGTATTTAAACAAAGTTGACCACCCTTCACCTCAGTATGCTACATGCCGTATATGATCCTAGGTAACTTGGTTGTTCAGAAGTTGTTTGAAGATTTTAACATAACTTTGATCCAAGTGACATTAGAAGTTGACCAGTCATTCCTGCGAACATCTTGGTAGTCCTCCATCAGAGTAATCTACATGCTAAATATCTTGATTTGAAGTCTCAGTTTTTGAAACCAGTGGTATTAATTTTGAAATACTCTGCATGTCTGCATGTTAACAATGATTCAAATGATAACCAAAATTTGTTTTGCTATTTTATCCCAGCAGATATCTCCCAATATTTCATTGTTGACATGAAATATTAAATTAAGATACCTCCAATCATTATGTTTACTACTGCTTGAGATAAAGAATATGTACTCAATCAATTATTTATGGCACAAGTTTCCACCTCTGCTATCGGTCAACTATAAGTACACGAGGGTTTCGATGCAGTAAGCCCCCCCCCCCCCCCCCCCCTTCAGCACAATCCTTCATACCTGGGTGTTCGTGACGTAGTTCTGGGTGTTTCAGATTACAATAGAGAACCGCTGAGATAGTTGCATGCTCGCCGAGTTCCTCGTCTGACTCCCACTTCTGCATGTTCCTGCGACTCGTCACCTGCTCTTGTTGCTCCTCCTCCTGGGCCATCACCTGTTGCCATGGCGGCTGGTTGTTAGGAAAGCCTCCTGGGCTCATAGAACTTGGACTGCTTAAAAATTATGTTAATGTATATTTGAATTAATTTTACCTCAGTTCTGACAGAAATTATAGACCTTTCACAGCAGACTATAACTTGCTGTCAACATAAAAGAACAGATGTACAACATGTCTAACAGAATCAATGCAAAATTTCTTGGCCAATCAGAAGAGGGGACAGCAATTTTGAACTCAGACCCAGCTTTATAAGTAACAGCATCTTTTTCGGGGGTAAATAACAGCACCTTATCAGACCATCAAGTCCATTTACTATTGTCCGGGTGTAGTTAAGAAGTTGAAAAGTTTTCAGCAAATCAGCTAATCAGAGGCTAAGACAGACATCTCAGGTTTCAAATCAGCGTAAACAAACAAATACTTAGAATAGAATATACTTTTGATTACTCACCTGAAACTTGAGGGAAAGCCTGGAGGTGGTGGCATGACCAGGGGTGCCAGACCCCCTTGCCCCATACCAGGATTCATGGGAACCTGAGTGGGATCCATGCCGGGGGGTTGGGGCTGTTCTTTTCCTGGGATGTGGGGGTTAGGGCCGGGCATGTTGAATCCTTGGGGAGCAGTAGGAACTAAAGTAAAATAAGGCATTACAAGTGATACAAATCTCCTCGCATTCACACATTGTGATATATGTTAGAGGAAATGAAGTTGCCAAAGCGATGACAAAGTGTTTTGCTAAAAATAGTAACAGTGACCTTGACCTTCAACGTAGAAACTCGAAACGAGAAATTGTTCAAGGCATTGCCATACCAAACACTTGTATGAAGTTTCATGAAATTCCAATGAGGAATGAAGTCGCTAGAGCGGTGACAATGTTTTTTTAACAAGCCATTCGGATTGATATGTCTTGTCTTTGCCCCGTTTTGACCATCAATGCACATATCAGAGAAACTAACTTAAACGCAAAAACTGAATTGTTGATGGACATGCTGACAAAGTCAATGAACCATGAAAGGTAGGCCGCATCCAGCATTTGATGCATGGGTTGAGATGTACTACCAAAGATGCATCTATGGTCCAAGTTTGATTGGTCAAGCATCTTTTACTTTCAGTAAAACTAACTTAATCGCAAAAACTTAATGTTGACGCTGTCGCCAGAAAAGCAAAACCTTAGTCTTTCTTCCACTTTGTGGCGGCGTGACAAAAATACTAACACTGCCCTTGACCTTCAATGTAAAAATCCGAAATGTGAACTTGTTCAAGGTATTGTCATATCAAACACTTCTATGAAGTTTCATAAAATTCTATTGAGGAATGAAGTCGCTAGAGTGATGACAAAGAGTGTTAACATACATACGAGCGGAATCCTACATCCCCTTGAACTTTCGTTGTGAGGGGATAATAAGACCAGTATTTTATGTAGTCACACCTAAAATTAGCGGAATCCTACATCCCCTTGAACTTTCGTTGTGAGGGGATAATAAGACCAGTATTTTATGTAGTCACAACTAAAATTACCATTCTCTTTGAATTACTGAAAAAATGCATTTAATATCAAACTTCTTTTTGTGGTAGTAAATTTTTCAAAAAATCTAGTTCACCAAATATCTGTTTCAATCCATGGTTCTTTACGATGACTGCTATAAATCTCATCAGATGTAAAACTTGATGTTACAGTACTATGATGTAAATATAAACTAACAATGTTTAGGGGTTCGGTTCACAAGATATGCTGTGCACAGCTTTTTACTTCAAAAGGAGTCAAGCTTGAATTTCGAGCCTTTACTCTTGATTGATGACCACCGAAATCTGCTCTTTTCTTGGTATGGAAAATATAGGTCACTGTGACGTAGTTTTAGTGCATGAAACTTTAAGATGTAACAACACATCAAGTTTGGTCAAACTGCATGACCATATAAAGGAAATAAGGCAAACAAAGGTCATAAACAGACATACAACATGAATACTATTACTATTGTTCACACACCCCTCTTTTTCCAGCAGGTAACAGTTGGTCTGGTCTTTTCACAAAGTTATTTGGAGCCCTAATTCTGACTTACCCGACGGTCGAGGATCATTCTCCAGCACACCTTTGAAGATGTCTTCTACAGTCTTACTGTCCATGTGTACTAGTCCTGTTGGGGTCAAAGACAAATGTAAGTGTTAGACCGTGAACTTATAGTCTAATCAAACTTAAAGCACTGACAAAGTCTATAGCAGCAACTTCGTATTTCATAGTCAATTCATTTAAAGTCAACCAAATTGTCATTGTCCACATGTGAACAAGTCACATGTGAACAAGTCACAGGTGAACAAGTCACAGGTGAGCAAGTCACAGGTGAGCAAGTCACAGGTGAACAAGTCACAGGTGAAGGCATTTCTCTAACATCAAATGTTAACTCACCTTCGGATAAAATTTTGTCAACATCCAGGTTTTTCTCATCATCAAGATTTGGACTGAGGATACCATCCAGATTTGCCTGAAGTTCAGGCTTGTGACTCGATTCCTCCGAGCGAGGGTCCACTTCCATTGTCCCTCCTGGGAGCATTGGTAAATCTGTCGAGAAACAACAGATGAAATTCTAAATCTGTCAGAAAAATGTTTTCACAGTTACTTGTCTTTAGATATCCGATGTGTTCCAAGATCTAGCCATAATTAATGACTGATGTTATTCAAAAGATTTGGACATATTTAACACATGCTGCTTTATGCTTACCGTATTGATATTTTACCTGGCCAGTAAGCAAACTAAATATGGATACATTTTGAACAAGAACATCTATTGATCATTTCACTGTGTTTCTAGTATGGATGTGTTGGAGCTAGCAGGCTTACCATCCTGATCTTTGGCTAGTTCTTTGTTGATAATACTGAGTAGTTCGTCATCCTGTGGTAGAGCATCCGGTAACAAGTCCAAATCACTGTCTTCTGTAACGAACATTCAACACTATCACAAATTGTTCTTACTTTGTAAACTGACCTATTAACTTAATGTATTTCTTGAAGACATGTAGTAAGACATGTAGTAAGACATGTAGTAAGAATACCTTTGTATGGGTAGAAGCTGAAAACTCAACCGTAAATAAACTTTACATTTCCATGTACAATTCAAAATATCTCAATGAAATCTTGCTTACTTTTGCGAATAAATTAAAACTGATTTTTAATGAATGCCTTGCCATAACTGGGAGCAAACTTGATGTAGCCTAGTATATATTATACTTGAAAGGTTAAAAACTTACGCAATTCATCATGGACACCAAGGGGATTCAGGAGAGGTTGGCCAACGGAGGGCAACAGGTGGCTACTAGAAGGGACCTTGACTGGGGATGTGGAGAGTAATCCCTGATTAATCAAGGGTTGGTTATCTCCCCTGAAGTCAAGGGTCACTGGCGAGGTCCTCGCCTCGTCCAAGTCCGACCCAGAATCAATCTTCACAGACTCCTTGCTAGTGGTTTTAGTCTTGTCAAGCATATCTTTGCCGAAAAAGGCCTCCTACAATGAGGAAATATTTTGGTATGACTTAAATCAAACACTCATTGCTGACAATATTTCACAACAATCTACTCACCCTACTCAAACAAATGTATATTCAACAGAGGTTAATCTGAGTCAAACTCTAAAGTAATAATTAACAAGGATGAATATGAAATTCCGGGTTGTTTATTTGAACAAACTTTATTCCACTTCATTCGAGAATAAAACAGTCAAAATATCATGGACCTATGTTTCTTGGTTATCCAGAAGAACCTGCTCAAAGATTTCAAAAAATCAGGCACCTGGGACTTTAAAAGAAGTCATTCATTTGAACAAACACAATAGCCTTTCACTCAAGCATATTACAGGCTAAATATCATTACCCTTGGCCTCTTGGTTATTCAGAAAAGGTTATTTAAGAAGTTGTACCAAATAAAAAAGTTAATATAAACGGATGACAAATGCTGCACTATGGTATAAACTAACAGGTATTTTGTGGCAGAGGTGCTACGACAATTGTAACCTCGACCAGAGTTCTATAAATAACCAACTGATTGCAACATTACAAGATCTACCTGCATATAAGTTGGGAAGTTTTCTTCAAGAGCACTCTTTTTCTTAGTTCGACGGATCCGTTTCTTTTTGGGTTCTTCTGCAGGTGTTTCTCCTTCTGCTAGCGGTTTATCTGTCACTTCTGTTAAAGAGACAGACTTCAATATGACTCTTCTTTAAAAACTGATCAAAATATCTTAACAAGATTATATTTCATATCTATAAATATCTTTTTCATATGTTAATTTTGACTTTAACAATGTTTTAATAGGATGTTTACACAAAATCAATAGCGTTTTGATAATTTTCAAACCTCTTTAAATTAATGAAGAACAATGTGTTATCATACCATGGTGTAAATAAGAACTGAACCTGTTATGGGTTCCTGCGAGTTATCTTTCACACAAGATTTTTACAATGGAATACTGAAAACTATTATAATGTATCCCTCTCCACTTGGTGTTGGGTATAATAACAGGGCTTAAATTGACCTTACAAGAGTTTTCTTTTCCCCCCATGTCGTTTGGTGAAGAACAAATTAATGTTTCTATCTCTACCAGATTGTAAAATTAGCAACAGTTTAGCATGTCTAATACAAGATTTCTTTGTTATTTATTTTCTTGCTACAGACTTGCTGGTGAAACCTACCAGTGGCTCCCTCTGGTTTCGACTGTCCCTCCTCCAATGTGCCCGCTGTATCTGTGGAAGCTGCCTGCTGTTTGGCCTGTGGCCTAACTCTACTGCGAACCATGAACCCCCCAATACCTGCAATATAATAACCAGTCAAGAGGAATTCGGTTACAATTGCATGCTCTACAATTCTATGTGCACTCAATTCTATAATAGTTTCATATTTTGGCACATTTAGGATACTGCATACTTCCCCAAGAGGCTAGGTGGTCCAAAAGTAGAGATGTCTTTAATTAAAAGAAATCCAACTTCTATAAAGAAAATATGAGATTCCCATGGATAATCTTGTCTAGGAGAAAATATTAATAAAGAAAAATCAAGCCACCAATACGTACCTATATTGACAGTGTTACGCCTACACCTCTTCTTTTTCTCTGGAACAGGTGCCCCATCTGACGTGACAGGGAGGCCAGGTGTCAGGGTGGGACTGAGAAGTGCCAGCCCATCAGGACCTAAGTCCCCCTCCATCAAGGCCGATGGAGGAATACTCAGCCCCTCACCAAGGTCCACCAATTTTCCATCATCATCTGATTTGAAAGAAATTCAAAATTCAACATTTTTCAAAAACTGTCCTTATTTGTATTTGTAAATTTACAACATTAAAACTCTGTTTTTCGCTGAAGTTAAAACATACCAAACTTAAAAATCTACACTGTCACAATTTTTTTATATATCTGCTAGCTAATATTATATGCTTTATAATGATACTTAAACTACCAAGAATTTGAACCGAAATTTCATCTGAATCTGAAAATCAATATCTTTATATTTACTTAGGAGAACTGACTTCCCTACCTTTGAGAATATCCATGGACTCGTCACCGTCAATAGATGATTGACTTTGCATTGACACTAGCCGAGCAGCAGAGGGAGCTTGGGAAAGCATGCCCGCTACCTCGGAGACAGCTGGCTTCACCTCGGTCTTCTTTCTCACTCGCTTTGGCTTTGGAACTTGGACCGTGATACTCTGTATCTGTTGGTGACCAGACTCAGAGAGGCACACTCCATCCAGGAAGAATTTCTTTGGCGGTTCTGTGAAATGAAAGTTTCAGATCAGACAAATTAGGACTATGAAGTTGCTTGATAGTCGATACAACACATCCATTACTTTTTAACATGCTATTAAAGCACTTAAGAACTATGCAGTAATTGGACACAATATGACTCAATAGACAGAAATGTTCACTGCTGGATGACAGGAATCATCGATATAAACTTTCTATGTCACTGATCACAACACAGGCAGTCTCAATGATAACACCAACAGTTCCTGGCAGCAACTCACCTGGCTCTCTGGGAGGCAGTGGGGGAGGTGGAGGTGGTGGAGGTGGAAGTGGCGGAGGGGACAGGGGCTTCATTTCTACCTCTTCTGGGGGTGATGGTGGTGGGGGTGGCGGCACTGTAATCAAAATTCAATGCTTTGTAAAATTTCGTCAAATCTGTTCAAAGTCTTCAGTAAAATATAACAGCAGTCATACTTTTCACTTTTGATAAATAATATGTATATGGCTTGAAAAAATAGGAACAGTTATGGACCATACTGGTGTATCTTGGGTTTCCACAAGAGATTTATATGAACCAGGCTTACTAATCCTAGGTCTACACAAAAGAAGCTTGCATGAGAGGCCTGTCGTGGATCTATGTAACAAAAACATGTATGGACCTATTGCACGGACCAGACAGGTCTATCCAGGGTAACAGAAACTTACATGGCCCAGGCTGTCCAGTCTTGGGTCTACAGAATAGACAGTGGTAGCCAAAGTCCGCAGCACGCTCGGCGTCATCCTCATTCTTGAGCTGGTCACAGTGGCCATGAATCCAGCGGTCACACTGTACACACTGGATGACCAGTTCGTCCTCATGGTAGTTTCTCTGACAGGCTGGACACTCCTGTTTACTGTTACATGGTCCACACTGGGTGTAGTTGTTCTGCCACTGACAACCAAACCCAGGCGTGGTTGACCCGCAGTTCACACACATCACACACCTGAAAATAAATTCATGACTTTATACCCATGAACATTCACTTATAACAAATTTCTTATAACAACTTCCCTATCATGTATTCCTAGATTTCTTAATTTCTTCGTTTCTTGTGTGTGATTCTCTTCATTCATTTATAATACAAGATTTATAATACAAGATGAATTCATAATGACAAATTTCCTATTACCTTAAAATATCATGTTCTCGGAATATTGTGTAATTGACCATACCATTTACATTTCCAGGTGCCCTTTGGAACATGGTCGAGTGGCGGGTCGAGACAGTAGATGTGGTAGCTGATGTCACACTCGTCACACAGAATCAGGCGACCCTCGTCATGCGGCTTTCCGCATCCCTCACACACAGTACAGTCTAAACATCGCCAGCCTTTTTGTAGCACAACCTTGGTCACCTGCAACAATCCATGATTTTAAAAAAAGAAAACAGGGTTTGTACCAAAATTTGGCAGAATTTTCTCCCACACGAACTCAATCCTGTGAGAAACAACAACCAATTGGCCTGTACAATAAATACTGATGTAAACAGGATATTAGATAGTGCTGTTACATTAGACGAGTTGGTGTTGATCTGACTCACCTTGACGCTGACACAGTAAGGATGGTAACACTGTCCACACTGAGTACACACTATCAGCTTGCCCTCCTTTCCTTTACCAAAACTACCACAGCTCTTACAAACATCCTGGATTAAAGGAAACAAGCCAATCAGGCATAACAGTATACAGAGTCAATCAGGCACAACAGTATACAGAGTCAAAGTCAATCAGGCATAACAGTATACAGAGTCAAAGTCAATCAGGCATAACAGTATACAGAGTTAATCAGGCACAACAGTATACAGAGTCAATCAGACATAACAGTATACAGAGTCAATCAGGCACAACAGTATACAGAGTCAATCAGGCACAACAGTATACTGTTGTGCCTGATTGACTCTGTATACTGTTAAGCCTGAGTGCCTGATTGACTCTGTATACTGTTACTGTTATGCCTGATTGACTTTGACTCTGGATACTGTTGTGCCTGATTGTCTCTGTATACTGTTATGCCTGATTGACCTTGACTCTGTATACTGCTGTGCCTTATGACTCTGTATACTGTTGTGCCTGATTGGCTTAGACTCTGTATACTGTTGTGCCTGATTGGCTTAGACTCTGTATACTGTTGTGCCTGATTGGCTTTGTCTCTGTATACTGTTGTGCCTGATTGACTTTGACTCTCTATCCTGTTGTGCCTGATTGACTCTGTATACTGTTATGTCTGATTGACTCTGTATGCTGTTGTGCCTGATTGGCTTTGGCTCTGTATACTGTTGTGCCTGATTGGCTTAGACTCTGTATACTGTTGTGCCTGATTGACTTTGACTCTCTATCCTGTTGTGCCTGATTGACTCTGTATACTGTTAAGCCTGAGTGCCTGATTGACTCTGTATACTGTTAAGCCTGATTGACTTTGACTCTGTATACTGTTCTCCCTGATTGACTCTGTATACTGTTATGCCTGAGTGACCTTGACTCTGTATACTGTTGTGCCTTATGACTCTGTATACAGAGTCAAGGTCAATCAGGCATAACAGTATACAGAGGTAATCAGGCACAACAGTATACAGAGTCAATCAGGCACAACAATATACAGAGTCAATCAGGCACAACAGTATACAAAGTCAATCAGGCACAAGAGTATACAGAGTGAATCAGGCACACCAGTATACAGAGTCAAAGCCACTCAGGCACAACAGTATACAGAGTCAATCAGTCACAACAGTATACAGAGTCAAAGCCAATCAGGCACAACAGGATACAGAGTCATCAGGCACAACAGTATACAGAGTCAAAGTCTATCAGGCATGAGTCAAGGTCAATCAGGCATAACAGTATACAGAGTTAATCAGGCACACCAGTATACAGAGTCAAAGCCACTCAGGCACAACAGTATACAGAGTCAATCAGACACAACAGTATACAGAGTTAATCAGGCACACCAGTATACTGAGTCAATCAGGCACAACAGTATACAGAGGCAAAGTCTATCAGGCATGAGTCAAGGTCAATCAGGCATAACAGTATACAGAGTAAAAGTCAATCAGCCACAACAGTATACAGAGTCAAAGCCAATCAGGCACAACAGTATACAGAGCCAAAGTCAATCAGGCATAACAGTATACAGTCAAAGTCAATTAGGGACAGCAGTATACAGAGTCAAAGTCAATCAGGCATACCAGTATACAGAGTCAATCAGGCTCAACAGTATACAAAGTCAATCAGGCATAACAGTATACAGAGTCAGAGTCAATCAGGCATAACAGTATACAGAGTAAAAGTCAATCAGCCACAACAGTATACAGAGTCAAAGCCAATCAGGCACAACAGGATACAGAGTCATCAGGCACAACAGTATACAGAGTCAAAGCAAATCAGGCACAACAGTATACAGAGTCATAAGGCACAACAGTATACAGAGTCAAGGTCAATCAGGCATAACAGTATACAGAGTCAATCAGGCACAACAGTATACAGAGTCAATCAGGCAGAACAGTATACAGAGTCATAAGGCACACCAGTATACAGAGTCAATCAGGCAGAACAGTATACAGAGTCATAAGGCACAACAGTATACAGAGTCGGTTAGGCACAACAGTATACAGAGAAAAAGTCAATCAGGCTTAACAGGATACAGAGTCAATCAGGCACAACGGTATACAGAGTCAATTAGGCAAAACAGTATACAGAGTCAATTAGGCACAACAGTATTCAGAGTCAATCAGGTACAACAGTATACAGAGTCACTCAGGCACAACAGTATACAGAGGCATAAGGCACAACAGTATACAGAGTCGGTTAGGCACAACAGTATACAGAGTGCTAGATCAGTAGAAAAGTCAATCAGGTACAACAGTATACAGATTCAATCAGGCACAACAGTATAAAGAGTCAAGGTCAATCAGGCACAACAGTATCAGGCATAACAGTAAACAGAGTCAAAGTCAATCAGACATAACAGTATACAGAGTCAATGAGGCACAACAGTATACAGAGTGCTAGATCAGTAGAAATGGACAGCAGTGGTCACAAAACTATAGTCTCCCACAACAGTATACAGAGTCAATCAGGCAGAACAGTATACAGAGTCATAAGGCACAACAGTATACAGAGTCGGTTAGGCACAACAGTATACAGAGGCATAAGGCACAACAGTATACAGAGTCGGTTAGGCACAACAGTATACAGAGCCAAAGTCAATCAGGCACAACAGTATACTGAGTCATAAGGCACAACAGTATACAGAGTGCTAGATCAGTAGAAATGGACAGCAGTGGTCACAAAACTATAGTCTCCGTGGCCAGTGGAAATTCAATCAGGCACAACAGTATAGAGAGTCAAAGTCAATCAGGCACAACGAGTCAAAGTCATTCAGGCATAACAGTATACAGAGTCACTCAGGCACAACAGTATACAGAGCCAATCAGGCACAACAGTATACGGAGTTAATCAGGCACAACAGTATACAGAGACAATTAGGCACAACAGTATACAGTCAAAGTCAATTAGGGACAGCAGTATACAGAGTCAAAGTCAGTCAGGCATAACAGTATACAGAGTCAATCAGGGAGAACAGTATACAGAGTCAAAGTCTATCAGGCATGAGTCAAGGTCAATCAGGCATAACAGAATACAGAGTCAATCAGGCACAACAGTATACAGAGTTAATCAGGCACAACAGTATATATACAGAGTCATCAGGCACAACAGTATACAGAGTCAAAGTCAATCAGGCTTAACAGTATACAGAGTCAATCAGGCACAACAGTATACAAAATCAGGCATAACAGTATACAGAGTCAATGAGGCACAACAGTATACAGAGTCAATCAGGCACAACAGTATACTGAGTCTAAGTCAATCAGGCTTAACAGTATACAGAGTCAATCAGGCACAACAGTATACAAAGTCAATCAGGCATAACAGTATACAGAGTCAATCAGGCATAACAGTATACAGAGTCAATCAGGCACAACAGTATACAGAGTCAAAGTCAATCAGGCATAACAGTATACAGAGTCAAAGTCAATCAGGGATAACAGTATACAGTCAAAGTCAATCAGGCATAACAGTATACAGTCAAAGTCAATTAGGGACAGCAGTATACAGAGTCAAAGTCAATCAGGCATAACAGTATATATACAGAGTCAAAGTCAATCAGGCATAACAGTATACAGAGTCACTCAGGCACAACAGTATACAGAGTCAATCAGGCACAACAGTATACAGAGTCAAAGTCAATCAGGCACAACAGTATACAGAGTCAATCAGGCACAACAGTGTACAGAGTCAAAGTCTATCAGGCATAACAGTATACAGAGTCAATCAGGGACAACAGTATACAGAGTCAAAGTCAATCAGGCATTACAGTATATATACAGAGTCAAAGTCAATCAGGCACAACAGTATACAGAGTCAATCAGGCACAACAATATACAGAGTCAATCAGGCACAACAGTATAGAGAGTCAAAGTCAATCAGGCACAACAGTATACAGAGTCAAAGTCTATCAGGCATAACAGTATACAGAGTCAAAGTCAATCAGGCATAACAGTATACAGAGTCAATCAGGCACAACAGTATACAGAGTCAAAGTCTATCAGGCATAACAGTATACAGAGTCAAAGTCAATCAGGCACAACAGTATACAGAGTCAAAGTCAATCAGTCAGAACAGTATACAGAGTCAATCAGGCACAACAGTATACAGAGTCAAAGTCAACCAGGCAAAACAGTATACAGAGTCAAAGTCAATCGGGCATAACAGTATACAGAGTCAAAGGCAATCAGGCATAACAGAATACAGTCAAAGTCAATCAGGCATAACAGCATACAGAGTCAATCAGGCACAACAGTATTCAGAGTCAAAGTCAATCAGGCTTAAAAGTATACAGAGTCAAAGTCAATCCGGCATAACAGTATACAGAGTCAATCAGGCTCAACAGTATACAGAGTCAATCAGGTACAACAGTATACAGAGTCAAAGGCAATCAGGCACAACAGTATACAGAGTCAAAGGCAATCAGGCATAACAGTATACAGAGTCACTCAGGCATAACAGTATACAGAGTCAATCAGGCACAACAGTATACAGAGTCAATCAGGCACAACAGTATACAGAGTGCTAGATCAGTAGAAACGGACAGCAGTGGTCACAAAACTATAGTCTCCGTGGCCAGTGGAAATACTTTGTTTAAGTGAATACATTTTATGTCATTGATCACTTTGATTGCTATTTTATAATCAAATCCCACAAAACCACAATCCAGAAACAAAAGGCCCATGGACTGCATGCTTAATTCATTGTCAAATTTCTGTCATTTTCTGCTGTTGTTCCTAGTTTTATAGTTGAAAGGTAAAATTTCTGTCATTGTCTGCCCTTTTAGTTTCTTACTTGTTCCAAGACAAATTCGTCTTTAGAGTTGGCGAGGATAAGTGTGGTGGGATGATCATCCCCATCATCGTCGTCATCCTGGGATTTAGTTTTAGATTCTCCAACTGGTAAAGTTGTTACCTACAGAACCAAATACTATCACTGAAAAGATGTTACCTACAGAATCAAATACTATCACTGAAAAGTTGTTACCTACAGAACTAAATACTATCACTGAAAAGTTGTTACCTACAGAACCAAATACTATCACTGAAAAGATGTTACCTACAGAATCAAATACTATCACTGAAAAGTTGTTACCTACAGAACTAAATACTATCACTGAAAAGTTGTTACCTACAGAATCAAATACTATCACTGAAAAGATGTTACCTACAGAACCAAATACTATCACTGAAAAGATGTTACTTACAGAACCAAATACTATCACTGAAAAGATGTTACCTACAGAAAATGTTATATACAAAAACAACACAAAATATTTACAATCATAATACAGACGTCGTCAACAGGAAATATAAATTGTAAACTGAATATCTTCTTTATCCCTATGTATATACAATTTCTTACATGGTCAGGTGATGAAACAGTTACACACACGAACAGTGACATTTTATGACACTCTGAATAGACAAGAAACTAAATTGTCAACAGGTTATAAAACAATACAAAAACTAAATTTGTAGAGAGGATTTTACGGCTTCTTTTTAAACCTGACAGATATACAAGTGAGGATTTTATTAAAGAACTGCCCATGAGATAAGCAGTATCTCAACAATAATATTATGGTCCAATCGAGAGGTCCAACACAAGTTTTCCCTAACCCTGAAAGCTTTACCAATGCTTACCAGCACTATGAGGAAGTTTCAAATCATAAATACATTTAAACGAATCGGATCAATGACAGCACCTCACAGGTCTTAGTGTTGTAGTCGAGAGATATACTTCTGAATTCACAAATCTAATCTTCAACATAAAAAAAAATTGTCATTTATACCTGGCCAGAAATGCCCAGCTGGCCAGTTTTTAACTTTGGCTTTGGTCCTCGTTTTCTTTCCCCAAAAGTTGGAGGGCGTTTCTTCTTCTCTGGTGCAATTGGTCTCCCCTGGAATGAAATCAAAGACTGGACAAATGGTAAGACTGACCTCATTCAATTATACTCTCACTTTACACACTATCTACAGGCAACTAAGCCAACACCTGTAACAGCTGTCCAATACTGTAGTTCATGTTAGCTAAGTGATTGTATCTGATCTGGTATGGTGTTCCCCAGTGTATACTGTCCCTAATAGTTCCACCCTTATGTACCTCCTACACTATACTATTTACTAAAGGTGTTTAACATCTACCCCAATCACCAATCACCATCTCCCACTATCCCAACTCCATCCAGATAGTATAACGCTACGTTTAATTAAGGTTAATGGCTCATCAGACTTTAAATCATCACAATCAATTGTCAGATATAATATCACTTGTCAAATGGGACTTGAAAATAAAATACAATATAGAAATTAACATGTTCAGTAAAATGCGAAATGTAAGTTTGCAAATTAGTGGTTGATTGATTTTTATAAATAGTAACAGTTGTCTTGGCTTTGACCCTTGAACCTTAAATGGGAACTCATTAAGGGTATTCTCACACTCGACCTATATATAACGTTACATAAAAATAAAGAAATAAAATTGCTGTTGATAACACTGAATATGTTGACAAATAGTGAGTGACCTTGGGTTGACCCCTGAACCCTGAACTATGAAATCTTTCTCTAATTTTTTCTGAAATTTTCAGTGATTAGTGATGATACTGAATCAGGTCAAAACAGGTTGGATATGGTTTAATACTATATACCCATATCGTTTGTGACTAAAATGTTATCAAAGTAAGATCAGTGATACTCCATGATGGTCTGTCAGCTTGAGGATCTGTTGCCTCATATATATATATAACGATGTACTACAGGGGAGGAAAGAATCATGCTACAGTCCCCTGTAGAACATATAAGCGGATCAAAAGTATCTGTAAGTATTCGTTCACAGACAAAATATGGTTGTTTTAGTAGGACTTACCCTTGGCCTACCAGCGCCCATCTTCTTACGACTCATAGCACTAAGCTTTCCTCCCTTGCTGCCAATGCCATGGCCCTCCCCATGGGGGTGGGGATGAGAGGGACTAGTAAGCTGGGAGAGCTGGGCCGCACCCTGTACACACACAGACAGACCATCACAACATTGTCACCTAAACATATAGTCTAGTTCATAAATTATCTGTTATTAACTTCTCAAGTCAGAAGTACACATACTCTGAAATTGTTGTAGCCTACATTATTGTGATTGTAATAGCTCAATAGTCCAGATACTTCAACACAAAATACTTAGCTAATCAGCATTTCTGACAAAAGAATTAATTCTGGTAAAAAAAGAAAATGAATAATACCACCCAATTACAGGTTGCCTGTACTATATGACGTTGTAAAACAATTTGGAAGGTAATCAGTCTGAATATTATATGTTAGAAATGCTATGAAGCTAAATTGTTTGCACACAAATCTTTGTTTCTAAATTGCACGCCTTTCACTTTTCTAAATTTCAGTGATCTATTTTAAAAGTGTATCAATCTTGAATGCGAGTATCAGATGAGCTGAAGAGACTATTTGAACACATTTGTATTGTGAATCTATTACATGTATGTTAGGAGGACACAGGTTATTACTGTGAAGCAAGCCTAACCACCACAGCTCTCGACAACAGGCTCTTCCATCAACTAGACACACGCCTTTTTTAGTGTAAATATGTTTTTTCTATTCCCTTTACCAATAAAATTGCCACCAATACAACGTCACTAGTAGTATATTTTTCCTAAGAAAAGTTGCTGACATGTTTCCAAATTACCTTTTGTCCGATATGTAAAACATGCACAGAAAAGAAATACCCACTCCTACAGTAAAAGTAATTAGTGTCTAGCCATATAGCTTACCTTCTCAATCACACTGATGTCAATATCTATACTCGACACGGAATCTTCATTCATTAAGAATGAGTTAGACCCATCATCCATGAACGACATCGTTTCAAGGTCATCTATAAAAGATTCAAGGTCATTTGTGAATAAAAGCGATCAGATGCAGCAGTAGCTATGTAAGATTAGACCATATTTTCTAATGCATGGTAAGAGTTAATTTTTATAAGGTTATCTTTCTCCAAATGAAAGAAAATAAATAATTTGTTTTGTTGACTTAAACATAAGTTGAACAATGAAAATGTTATTTACCATTCAATAAGTAATCTTCAGAAGAGTCGTCCGGCGGCCCTGGTAGTGCATATGGGAATGGCAGGTCCATCTGTAAGTATTTCAATCGCCCATTAAATCTCAATTCTAATGTGATTCTCAATCGGCTAATACAACTTCTAACAAATACAAATACAAGATGATTATAAACTCCTACTTCTCTGACAGCATGTAAACAGCTGCCTTAGGTAAACATTACTGTAGTATTTTAAGGGAGGCCTCATTTACAAAATCAGTTTTCTTTATCCAAGTGACTGGTGCAAAGAAAAGCAATTTAAAGTTGTTTCTACTTTTTATTCTGTTTTTTATTTTGCCTTTTTCATTAGGACTTCTATTTTGCAAAAGTGATATTGTGAAAGTCTTATGATCACTTACATCAGGATCTCTGTTGCGACAAAAAGCACAGGTATAATCAGTATCCAGCCCCTCTTTGACTTTCTGTAGAAGGCCAGAGTCTATTGTCTCGTCACACTCGGCGTGAACATGTCTACAAAACATAATATTCATGTGGAAAATTCTGTTGTAATAGAGGAAGAAAGCAGAAAAAGTTTTAAACAGATTTGTTTTCATTTCAGAATTCCTTTCGAACTAGAAAGTAAAATCCACCAAACAACTACAAGATTTACAAATGATTTTGTACAGAATCAATATAGAATTTGGTCCTTAAAGCACTAACAGGATATGGAAATAACGGACTGATATCCTTTACGGTATTAACTAACAAGGAAAGGTTTGTTTAAACAAAAATCATTTTTGTATGTAAATTAAATCAAACAATTGCATTTTTTTTATTGGGGAGGGGGGAACAAAATAAGAAGAGGAGGGAAGTTGGAAAGACATAATTCAATTCTCAATATCAAAAATATGTCAACAGATTAAGTGGGAACTAGTTTGACTTGCCATCTACTCACTTTTTACAAGTATTGCACAGTATCATCTCCTTCTGAGTGAACTGTCGGTATGCCTTCCCACACAGTGGACATGACAAGCCTTTGTTCCTCTGTTGGTAACAACTATCACAGACTGAGTAGTTGAGGTGCCACCGTGAGCTAGGGCCGCTTCCTGGGGTCCTGGAACCACAGTCACCACACACACGACAGTTCTGACAAAACATAAATCAGCCAACCCAGTTATGAGAACATTGCTCACTTAACATTCATACATAAATTCAGTTAAAAAGTGACATAAAATGAAATAAAACTATTGAACAGAAACTACAAACTGGCAATTATTACAATTATTAAAACGCCCTACATGAATGCAAGTACAGATACAGAATTTTATCTGTGAACATTCCAAGGAACGGTATGACAAATGATGACATTCAGCCGACAGTTTCCAGTCATAATGAAAAGACGGGGACTATTTATACAAAAATTCCAGGCACCTTTAAAAAATCAAAACTAATATCAAAATGGGCTTACTTGTACAAAATCTCACATGACCATTATACTTGATGCACATATTTACAAGTGGCTATTGGCAATCTTACGTTTTTACAACAGATTAGGACATTGATTACCTTGCACTTCCAGCCATTCTTAGGTATGGTAGTCATGACAGGTTTGAGACAGAAAGTGTGGTACCCTTTATCACAGGTGTCGCATACCAGCATCTTACTATCTTCTCCTGGGTGTCTGTGGGATGAAAGTACAAGTCATATATATTGCTTAAGAAGTCCAATTCCTATTTAATACTCTAACACTATATATATAAAGCAGTCCTTTAAAGATTAACCCCATTTCCCTTTCTGAGCCCTGCCCCTCTGCCTGCACCTTTCATACAAATTTTCTCAATCAGCGATTTTTATATTAATATTTTACCAATTTAACCCTTCAGTTGTTTTTAATGTGTTTAACGACTTTTGAGTTTCCTTTTAACATTTTAGGTCCTTCTTGGGCCTGCATCGCTCACCTAGTATTAATCTCACACTTGTAATCTTAAAAGTGGACTAAAATACAGCTACAGGCAAAATATCAGTGTTTCATTCATAAGAACCTATTAAAAGATTTAAACATATGACCCCTGTGACCTTGAATGTCGAACAAGGACATTATAATATTAGGTTGAACAGAGTTTATAGTCTTCCAACCCAGCATGCTTCTGGAAAAATATCATTACCCTGGACCTTTTGGTTATACAGAACAAATCATTTAAAGATTTTAACATATATTGACCACTGTGACCTTGAATATGGGCGAAGGTCATTCACTTGGTAGTCCTTCATCCCAGCACGTTACTGGCATTATCCTAGGCCTCTTGGTTATTCAGAAGAAGTTGTTTAAAGGTTTAGAACATATTTGACCCCTGTGACATTGAAAAAAGATGAAGGTCATTCATTTTAACAAACTTTATAGCCCTTCATCCCAGCATGCTACTAGCCAAATATCATCACCCTGGCCTATTGGTTATTCAGAAGAAGTTGTTTAAATGTTTAAAACATATTTGCCCTCTGTGACCTTGAACGCAAGTCAAGGTCATTTATTTGAACAAACTTTCTAGTCCTTCATCCCAGCATGTTACTGGCCAAATATCATCACCCTAGGCCACTTGGTTTTTCAGAAAAAGTTGTTTAAATGTTTTTAACATATTTGACCCCTGTGACCTTGGATATAAGTCAGGGTCATATTTGAACAAACTTTGTAGCCCTTCATCCCAGCATGTTTCTGGCCGAATATCATCATTCTAGGCCTCTTGGTTATTCAGAAGAAGTTGTTTAAAGTAAAAAGTTGACGCCGGCCGGACGCCGCACGCCGCACCATGCCGGGAGGGCCAAGTGAGCTAAAAATGAACAAGCTCCTTTCCAAATTTGGTCAAAACTTTTTACCCATTTCTTATAGTGTTTATTTGCAATGCTGCTATTTCCTCTCTGCTTATATTTGTATAAACAGTGTTCTGCTATATATATCGAATTGAAAAACGACCCAGTCATACGAAGTTGTAACTCAATTTAAACCAACATTGGTCATTTCATGACCTGTTCCTCAAAGTATACTGATAGAGTGAAGTGTGAGGCTAACTTACCGACACATCTGACAGATCTTACAGTCTGGACACTGCCATCCAGCCCGTACCTCTGGTGTCATGGCTACAGACGGATGTAAACAACTGCCATGGTAGTGGTGGCCACAGCTGGTACAGAAAAGCTGCTCAGAAATGTTGCCCACCAGATCACATATAACACACAGGGCTTCCTCTCCAGCTGTCCAAGGACAAATATCAGTATCAAGTAAAGAACTTATAATACATGTCAACTGACAACACCCAACAAGGGCTAGTTACCTCTACAAACTAATTTCAAACATACACCAGAGTTAACTATAGAAATGTCCAGTACATCACACATACAGGTAGCTATTAACAGAGCTATGTCTGGCTACATGACAGTTAGCGTACCACTCATTGTATAAACCCCGCCCCCAGTAAATGTTTCACTCTCTTGATCACTTTACAGAGATTATACCAACCTATTGTTTCCGCCTGATCTGTGTGGTCGGGACACAGCAACGACAGGGTCTTAATGTCCTGTAACACACAAAGTTACATTATCAACACCTCTTACATACACACAGCTAAAGATACACACAACTCAACCGATACAGTAGATAAATCTAAATAGATACACACAGCTGAACACCATATCATCAAACACTGCGCGAAAAATACCAGACCTCACTCTTTAAAACAAAGTTGATAGACCTTGCTTTATGTTACACCGACCTTGCCTCACTTAATAATTATCTTTACCGTGTGTTAATTATCATTTTCAAAATGAGAGATGAAAATGTTATGACTTCCATATATGTTACCCTATATGATTTAACGGCCTGATAGCATGCCTTAGACCTAGATCAGGGTCCAAGATAATGAAAGGTACGATATCAAAATAATCCAACAGTACACTAGAAATACTTGCCTGGAAACAGCCTCTTGCTGATGCACACGGATAATGATACTTTTTATTGCACTTTGTCACACGACAGTTGATAGTAGCACCATAGTTACGGCAATAGCTGCACTTCTGTAACAAGATGAAAGCACAAACATTTCAGACATGCATTTTTTTCTCTGGAAATAAAAATCATTACTGTAAAATTTTTGCACTAGTTTGATTTGTGACTTTTTTCCTACAGCAGTGGTCTGGTAAATTTTCAAAAGGACATTTCATAACAACATATCCTCTAGTGATGATTTAATTAACTCCCATTAAGATATCTCAATATTGAAATTTGAAGAAATTATGTCCATAAAAAACGTTTCTCAGTTATTTGTGGCCTGCCACAGGAACATGTATTATGTATATATCTGTACAAGGCACTGTGTTGTATCTTTGAGCAAGATATTTTACTCCGCTTGTTCCTGTCTACTCAGCTGTAAATGAGTATGTGGTTGGGCAGTGCTAGAATTGTAGAATGCTAGCTGTGCATGCCAAAATAGCTGTATGCTCACCAGGGAGTAAGTTGAGAAAGATATTGGCTGGTTGCAAAGACCCTTATAACCATGGATAATAATTTGTGAACCGCTTTGAGACCACCTACAAACTAGGTTGTGATAAAGCGGTATATAAGAACCTCAAATTATTATTTATTATTATAACACTGAAAGAGGGTAAATTGACTTACACACCACATAAGCAGCCGTAGCGAAGCAAAGGTGGTACATGTGAAGTTTGTCAGTAAATTTGATGTAAAATAACACTTAGATCTCGTTCAAACATAAAACATTACTTAAATTTGACTCAAGTTTAAATTCTTTCATGATACATGTACCAGTTTCAATCAGGGTAAAAATTTTGTGTAAAAATACTCACTTGAGATAGACCAGTATAGACGGCCCTATCAACATATTTTAGCAGCAGATCGTGTGTTTGGACCACCCCCTCGGACCAGGCTGCACAGCAGTGGTGGGCCAGTGTGTGTCCTGCAAATTACATAAAATCTTAAATCACTAGTTCTCAACAGCCATGGACTAACAATCTTTACCAATACACAACAACTTTATGCAGTGTTTCTCAACAGTTATTCAATTACTTTTCCTCATCTATCAAATACATTGATTATAGTAAAAGTCTGAAAACTCTTCTGAACACCTCCGTGAAGTGGTGCTCTGTGTGAAGTGACATGACTCACCTGATGGTTCTAACACCTGTGAGAAATGGTGTAACTCACCTGATGGTTCTAACACCTGTGAGAAATGGTTAAACTTGCATGATGGTTCAAACACCTGTGAGAAATGGTGTAACTCACCCGATGGTTCGAACACCTGTGTCAGGTCAATGTCTTCTGGATATCCGACCATGCTCAGCTCATCCCCAAGTATACAGGTAGGGTCTTCATCAGAGTTGTGGGGATACCTACGGGGGGATTTGCTCCTCTCCCTGTTAAGTTGTAGAATATCACTACAGGTAGAATATACGACACTATTAACAAAATATCATGGATTTCATAAATATTCATACAAACATAAAGATATAGTGTTCCGATTAATCGAGTTCGTCCAGTATCGGTTAGTTGGACCAGCTAACTGATTAATCGAGTACAGATTCTATGATCAATTTTATAAGGTGTAGATCTTATTGAACAGAATGGCGGCGGATTTAAAAGATGAGTTGCCTGCTATCATCAATGATAATCCCGGTTTACAGGCACGTTGTGTCGTGTGGAAACACTTTGGTTTCATTAGAAATATTGGTGCAGAGGGGCCAATGACAAAAATTACTCTCAATATGAAGTCGGCAGTCTGCAAAATTTGCAGAAAGGAATATTCATTTAATGGTACTGGCTCAGTTAGTCTTACATTATCGTAGTGAACATGTGAGGAAAGTGTCGCCAATGACCTTACGAGATATATTTCACTAAAAGAATTTGCAGTTTTGTTGTTTAAAAAGTTATTAAAATGAAACTAAAATAAAACATTTAGCCTCTTTTTATTTGATCATTATAATACATGGTTATACACTATCGTAATTGATGTTCACACATTTTAAGTTTATTTCGTTGTAACCGATTATCAATCGATCATCGGATGGTTACGATGAACCAATGATCGTTCATGAAAATTATACCGATTCCCACCCCAACATAAAAAATTTGATTGGCACATAAAAATGACTACTGCAGTTAGTTATGCTTCAGCTGTAGAAAATAATACCTACTTGTTGCCCTTAAGTGGTCCTCTATGACGTCTCCAGGTTAGGGGCTTCGGACCTTTCTCACTTGTGGTACGCTCATCAAACTCAGGGGTTTTGTTACGGGACTTGCCTAATGTCTTCTTGAGTGGGTTAAAGCCCTGAGTGGGATCATACTTGCCCAACTCCCCCTGTCCCAGCAGACTACGCTCCCCACAGTTACACAAGCTGCATAGCTTTGTGGGTCTGAAACAATCGTGAACAGGTGAGAAAGGGCTAAAGAAAGCAAAACCATTTTGTAGATTTCTGAATTCTGTGACTTCTATAGGAATTCTGGTTTTTGCGGGAATATTTTCAATGAGCCTGGAAGATTGGAAAGCAGTATGTGCAGGAAGATATTTCAATTGCACTACCACTATAATATTTTACTTGTATTCGTACCAAGAGTGTGGATTCATAATTCATATTTGTCAATTTACAATAATAACTGGCCGAGATTTTGACCAGATGTATTTCCAACTTACATCAAAGGTTCCAGGGGATCTGAGCCCTCTCCAGACATCACTGAGTAACTTGATGAAGCTGAAAACGATTTCATCAGACAATATTATCATATTGTAGTTTGAAAAAGGTAAAACATATGAATCTATCAGTTATTCATCACTAGGTAAGACAGAACAAGAGTACCACACATAACTCTCTCCATTACCATGCACTGATTTTGGTTAACTTTGAGCTTGGCGTTTCTCTTGGTATATATGGACCAAGTTTCATCAGAATCTAGTAGAATTTGATTATGTTCTTGTGCAGGAACTGTTAAAAAATCAGAAAGCAATAAGCAAAATAATTACTCAACATAGTTTGCTCATTCAAACTTAGTGCGAATGGATGGACAGGTGGGAAAGGGCTAAAGAAAGCAAAATTGTGATGGGCATATACATTTTCATGTTGCAGAAAACACAAATGTAAAGTTTGGTTTATTTAAAATTGTATACAATAGAGAATGACCCCTAATTCAGTATCAAACAGTAACAAACAGTTCTTAAGAATCCTGCTTTACCAGGTGTTATTCAACTCAAAGCAGCAACTGCTCAGACTCAGCCTTTGAAAAGCATACCTTGGTCATCTTCCATAGCCATGCCGGGTATGGGCATGTCCTGGTCGTAGTCCAGCATCATTGAGGAGGAGGATGGTCCAGCGATGTCCGGCGCCACAACCTGTGCAGCCTCCGGGTTTGCCGTGTCCATTGGTCCTGTATCCATAGCACTGCCTTGAAATGAGCGTACAAGACCTGCGAAGCTTGGGTGGATATGCACACCTTTTTTTATGGAGCTCTTCGTGCTGGTTTTACCAAGAGACCTGTAAAATAAATTCAGGTCATTAACTCATGATTGTCAAATATAATCCCTATCAACCAGTATGATCATGTACTCCTAATCTTAACCAAAACCTTTTCCAGATCACACAGCTTAGTAGCTAGTATATTCTTTTTATTTATTGAATAATTGAGCACAATCAACATATTTTGAAATGAACAGAATTCAGTATAACTACACTGTACTTTCAGGCTTTCCACCATTCTAAATCCTATTTCTACCTGGAATATAACAGGACAGATAGCATACTGTCCGGGTCATATTGTTACTTTGATTATTTCAAAGTTTGGTTAAAACATGCATTTCCTTTCCCACTTTCTATATAAATACTTTGTGTAAATTGAGCACTAAGTTTAGTTCTAGATTTTTATTGCACTAAATCTTCTTTTGGAAAGGATCCTACCAAACAATGTTGTTATCTTTGAACAACACTCCTTCGTACACGCAACTTTTTTATCAATACATGTGACATTTTCTTTCCCTTTCTGATGTCTTTGTTCTTCTGTGCCGTAACAGAATTTGTCACATTACTTTCTCAAAATTGAGACCCCACAGAACAATCTACCAAGTACCATCCACCAGTGAAATGAGGAAATAAAATGTTTAATTTACGTTTACAACACTGAACAAATTTTTCCTTCACCTAGCAATTTTTTATCACGAATTGCAAAAAAAATAAAAATGCTTCATTTCATTGTGTAAAACTGTTACCAGAACCAGAACAGACATCAATTTGTCAAATGAACACCATTCTAGCCTCTGCTTTAGACTTATACTCTCATTGAAATATAATGCAATGTGGCATTGCCAACTCCAATGACCAGGGCCTGTATTCGTGAAACCATTTTCATGCTCAAGAATGGATTCTGTCCTCAAACTAGGTTTTATGCAACTTGCTTAAATAATATGACACTCAAAAAGTAAAATTTAACTTTTGAAAATGGTATTTGTCCTTCAGTCTCTCCAAAACCTCTCAAAATCATTGAAAAAAATAAGAATTTTGTACTGATTTATCAAGAAGAATTTGGGACTTTGGAAATCTTGAGTTTGAGCATGTAGTGATATAAGGATATACAGGGCTAAGTTACAAACGTACAGCGGAGGGAATGAAAGTTTATAAGTCACTGAAACATTTAATAGGTGTCATAGGTGTTTTCCAAGTGTTGGGACTGATACAGACCTATACAAACCATGCAGCAGGTAGTCAAATGGCAGACAAATTTTCAAATTTAGTCATTACCAATTTGCTTGTTAAATGCAATATTTATCAGCATTAATGTTATGTTTGGTTCATCATTGTCCCGATTAATTTAAATTAAGTGTGATGTTTCCTGGGTATTCTACAGGATTAATTTAGATTTAGTGTGATGTTTCCTGGGTATTCTACAGGATTTATTTAAAGTGTTGATGGAATATCAAGATTCCACTGGTTTGTCCTAACACAACTTTCAGTTGTTTTATGAATGAAACATTTGCTTGAATTAAGAAAAATCAGAAATGTTGGCTCGAGGATCATATCATGTTGGGAGTCTACCACAACATTTGATCGTTCTCTACAGCACACGATTTCCAGTTATATTTGACTGCATGTATTACGATGTATCTTATAACTCTGTTTGATAAAGTTAGAAGACATATTTAAAACAGCAACATCAATGTAAGAGCACACTAAAAATGGATGCATCAGAACTAGAGTTCATTATTATAGTTCCAGACCTAGGGTCAATGCAATGATTGCAAGTTTAAAACAGTTTTGCTTTTATTCAGACATTGGTCATATTTGAAATGCAGTTAAATGAACAAAGCATATATTAATTATGTTATAACTAGAGTTTGCTTAAAGCCAATTCCGAGTTGTTAAAGAATCTTCTGCTAAAGGAAATTTTGATCTAGAGTTAAATTATAGTCATGTTTCAATTGGTGCGAGACGTTCCCACGTCTACAAATACTCTTATATAATTAAGTTCTGTTGACCAATCACATACAATCATCTTAAATGTGTTAGCTGAAGAAAAGTGGAATTAACAAAGTAAATGGAAAAGAACTTTTTGAAACAAAGCAATAAAACTTGTATTCTCAAAATGATATTGCAGTGTTTCCCCGACACCAGAGAAAAGCACCCATACATCAGCCATGTACTTACACTCTCTTTCTCTGAATTGGACCAACACCATCTTTTCTGGGCCTCCCTGGGCCACGTTTAATAGGTGGAGCGGAGAGTTTAAGTGTAATAGGTGGAGGCTGGGGCAGAGAAACAGCAAGAATGTCACCAGGAGCAACAGCTTGTAAAGATTCCACTAAACTAGATTCTGGGAAAGAGGATGCCAGAAAGCCTTCAGTAGAGCAGTCGTCAGAATCCAAAAGCTCTGTGGGAGCTTGACTCTCTCCAAAGTATGGGTCTGGAGCTTCAGATTCTCCTGGATCAAAATCGTCCGATAGCAGTATGCCCAACGACTGATCTGACTGATGGGTGGAGGTGTGACCAAGACTATGTTGGAAGTCTGGACAGTCTATAGGTATCCCGTCTTCTGGGTCACTGGTCTCCCCTGTATATGGGAATGCATCTGTCCCGGTTATATCTGGCGGCTCGCTGGAATTGCCCAGATCTATCTGTTCTTCAGCATGCGCAGTTAACAATGCATCAGGACTAGAGGATTGTAACAAGCCTGTGTGCTCCTCCGGGTTTAAGTCAGGTGGCTCACTCAATTCTGTCTGATTGCCGTAGACATGGAATCTCTGATCGGTGTTTGTAATGTCTGGTGGTGCACACGAGGGGGACTGGCTGTTGTCAGAGTTCAAATCCAAAATGGCGGCTTTTGATTTTGAGGTGGAGACAGAGCTTTCCTCTACCTTCTTTTCTTCGGTTCCTAAATTGAACATGACACAAATTATCTGTTTTAGATCGAAGAAAAAATACTGTTTAGCAATGGATTAGTGACATGTGCATATAAGATTATCTCTATGTGCTCAGTTTGTTTTGAAAGCAGTTGATAGAGTTAAACCTACAATCAGGTTGAATTTTTCATCGTGATTCTAAGGAAAGCTACTTTACAGACATGTTGATTTCACAAAAGGTTCTCACAATAAAGGAGAAGGTGTACTAAATTCAATGATGAAAACTCTATGAGAAACACTTCTATATGTTGATGATGGGAGTAAATGATTTTTCGGTAAATGTAGATGTGCAGTATAAAAACAAATTTTGATTATTAGCCTGACAAATATTACACAATGTAATGCATTGTACCTCCAGGAACTCCATTTATTGACAGATATTTATTAACCTTCACCAACTTCAGCTACAACAAATCAAATATCAAAACCCTTTGACTGCCAGTAAACTTTTTGCTCCTCATTCAGCCCATTCCGTTAATGAAAATCTGAATGAACATCATCTGGCATACTTCCTATAAACTCTGGTAGAAACACTAAATTGGTTCAGTGGTGTAAGAAGTCGCTCAAGGGAAACATGTACACACAGCAGGCCTAGGTGACAAGTTGCACCAGTCAGGCGATCTAAAATGCAATATTAGAAAATCAAACTTTTTATCCAACTTCCAACTGCTTTCAAATGTGTGTTAGAATATAAACAGGTGATATGAGTAATATTATAAGTTATATATATATATATTATGGCGGGTACGTATATGGCAGACGTCGTTATAGCGAACTATTACGTGACATCATAGTTTATGACGTCAATACTTCAAATAAACAGTCTGAAGAATCTCCTAGAAGAGATGAAAGTACTAAAGACTTGTTGTTAAGAATTTTTCTTCATACAATATTTATTCGTCCGTAAGGATCATTTTTCTGATTTATAATATATATATATATATATACAGCGACCTTTTTTAAACAGTTAAACAATACTACTTTCTCTTGCCAAATGTACATTTTTCCTCAAAATGATACCAAGAATGTCCAAGACTGTATACTAGTTAAATGTATTTTCCCAATTCAAGCAGGCACCGACTGCTTTAGGTAGAAAAAACACCGTCATATAGATTGTTAGTGATCCTGTTTAAAAATTAAATCATTCAAATTCATCTAATCATTAGTATTTTTTTTAAATATTTCATTTGATTATAGACTTAGACTGGACATATTGGTATGACATTTCCAATTTCATGTGCTTGTGAAATGTTTGCTATTTCCTTTCCTATTTAGAAGTTGTTATACTGCAAAGTATAGTTGTTATACTGCAAAGTATAGTTGTTATACTGCAAAGTATAGTTCTATTTTAGTTACGTATACAATGACCTTGACTTTTGTAGAACCATTCTCAAATGATTTTCCTATATGGCAATCCACATGCCAAATTTTCACTTTGTGAAACAATTTGTTCTAAAGTTAAGATGGGACAAAAGATGCTATTTCATGCAAACATGACCTTGATTTTCAATAATTCACTTCTTAAAAATACCCTTCTGTCCCTATGCTAGGGCAACCTTTATACTTAAAGCCTGAGCTTTGTGGGATCATTTATGCTTAAGTTTGTTTGTATAGGGTTCAAGGTCCTCGCAACAGATGGGGTCATTTAAATATTGGAAACATCTGGATAGTTAAAATGTGTGTGTGTGCATGTGTACATATGTGTGTGTAACACTAACAGTGACCTTGACCTGTGACAAAACATATCCGAAAAAAAGGCCATTTAGATATGCAGGGTGATAGAGTAAAATGGGTTACATTAGGTTTGTTTTATAATCTGATAATGACACGTGTCTAAAAAGTAGATACTTTATTACTCATTAGTATTCATATATCTACCCTGTCCCATAACGAACTGGTCAATTTCATAATATAGATCAGGAGATGATTAAGAAGGAAATATCAAAAACTGTTTAGTGTAAGTGTTGCATAGGAATGGCCTCAGAAATGCACTGTTATCATCATTTAAATTCATGCTGAAATACTGATCTTTTAAAGCATTATTGAAGTTTCATTTTAACCTAAATCTGTAGTTACTGTACACATGGGTATATTGACATGTTCCCTGGTATTGTTGGCCTGAGTAGAACAGTCTTTGTGTTAAGTTATTTAAATATTTAAATAATAAGTAATAAATGCATATTGGCTACTATAGTTTGGTGGTCCTTGTTAGCTCCGAATAGAATTTGCTTTCAGCTTTCCCATAGGTGAAGTGTCTGTCAATTCAGGATCTTGGATGTTCCACTGCTTCAAAAGTATCGCAACACTTCCAAACTATGTAATATATCAGCAAACAATAACAAATATATCCACACATTGCCAAACTATAACAAATATATCCACACATTGCCAAACTATAACAAATATATCTACACATTGCCAAACTGTAGCAAATATATCCACACATTGCCAAACTATAACAAATATATCTACAGATTGCCAAACTATAACAAATATATCCACACATTGCCAAACTATAACAAATATATCTACACATTGCCAAACTGTAGCAAATATATCCACACATTGCCTAACTATAACAAATATATCTACATATTGCCAACCATTAAAAATATATCCACACATTGCCAAACCATAACAAATAAAACCACACATTGCCAAACTATAACAAATATATCTACACATTGCCAAACTATAACAAATATATCCACACATTGACAAACCATAACAAATATATATACACATTGCCAAACTATAACAAATATATATACACATTGCCAAACTATAACAAATATATATACACATTGCCAAAATTTAACAAACATATCAACACATTGTCAAACTATGACAAATATATCCACACATTGCCAAACCATAACAAATATATATACACATTGCCAAACTATAACAAATATATATACACACTGCCAAAATATAACAAATTTATCAACACATTGTCAAACTATGACAAATATATCCACACATTGCCAAACTATGACAAATATATTCCACACATTGCCAAACTATAACAAATATATTCACATTTCCAAAATTTAACAAATGTATCCACACATTGCCAAGAATTTTTCTTCATACAATATTTATTCGTCCGTAAGGATCATTTTTCTGATTTATAATAAACTATAACAAATATATATACACACTGCCAAAATATAACAAATTTATCAACACATTGTCAAACTATGACAAATATATCCACACAATGCCAAACTATAACAAATATATCCACACATTGACAAACCATAACAAATATATCCACACATTGCCAAACTATAACAAATAAACCCACACATTGCCAAACTATAACAAATATCCACAAGTATAACAGCATACTTTGTTGGAGGCATTATGCAGTGTGTGAAAATCCTTACATGAAGAAAAGTCCCAGGCTATGATAAAAGTTCATGAATATATTAAAATGTTATAAAATATACCTGCCATTAAATAAAAATAAATAAAAAACAGGTCTACCAGATACTTTCCCCGTCTAACATTTACTAAGCTTGTTCATTAGTCTTAAAGCTTGAAAACCTCATTAGGTGATTATTTAGAAAATTATTTATGTTTATAATTACTAGAATATATTCCATGTTCATATATATATGTTGATTTAAACTTCTAGTAGTATAATGAAATAAAAAAAATATTTTTTTTTAGAAAAAACAGTGTTAATAGTACGTGTGCGTAGATTTCAAGGTTAGAGTGCACCATCTCTTGGCCAATAAAGTACCAACAAATGTGGAAAATATTCAAAAATTCTCACAGCTACAGTTCCAAGGACTGTCTTCTCACTAACCATGTCTCCGCAATACATGAAAAAAAAGTCCTGCTTAACTCATCCAATTAAACCCAATACCCAATGGAACCATATATCCCTTTATAGATCAACAAGAGATACAGGTGAAAAGGCAAGATTGAAAGGTGAAAAAAGACAAGCAAAAGCATATTCTGAATAAGGGACCCTCCAGCAGAGCATTGTACATACATATTGTGAAAGGAAACACATGTTACTGGTGACAAAGGATGCTGGATAAATTTTACTGTAGTGGAAGATGATTCTGATATTTAAACTGCATGGATTCAACAATAGCACTTTTAAACGAATTTTCAATTAATGAAAAATTTTCAATAAAGAATGACACTACATTCTTCAAACCCTTCTGATGTATTCTTATAACAAGCTAAGATATATGCATATCAAAATATTGAAAAAAATCAAGAAAAAACAACAGGTCTACTTTAACTACTCGGTAAAGCTGGAAATGTTTCTTGGAAGTATTGAAATGGAAAAGAATATTTGTACTATGATGGGCAGGAATGAGGAAATGTTCTTGTCAACTGTTAAAAAAACTGTTAAAGCAATTGCCTCCTTCTGTCCATATTTTTCTTTTTAGTCAATTGTGCCCTTCAGCGTTTTCCCTAATACATGAACCAAAATCAACTTAAATTACGGAAAATAGCAAAACTGATTTGCCTTTTCTAGAGAAGCAGAAATGCAAATCTTCTTTCACATTGTTTAGATTTTATATCTAAATACAATCAGTCCTGAGCAAAGATTGAATTGTAGAACTAGCAATCATAGCATACTTTTGATATATATTCAATCCTAATTAAATTTAAACATAACAGGTATCTATAGCTACTATTGAAAAGTTAAGTATTTATTAATTTTATAGAAAACCTTGCAGATTTATAAAAGATAGTAATATATAAAACTACTTATACTTTTTAGTAACATACAGGTATCAGAATGGGTAAGTGCAATAACTGGCCATGTCTTTTTTTAACCTTTGACCTTTGAACTGTGTCTGAACAAAGATCTGTCAAAATGAATTTATCACATCTGAAAATTCCCCAAAATTTCTTATCTTCAACAAAGTCTTTATGTAACTCCAAAGAACACTTTCCATTGGAAGTTTATATAGTACCAAATGTAACAGGAGTGGAAAAAACAACTAGAACAAAACCGAACCCTCTGAACTGTAAATGGACGTTTCAGGTCTAGCAATCTGAGCAATTTTGTCAGAAATTCATTAGGAGTATTTTAGAAGTGTTTACTGTCTGGTGGAATTCAGTGTTTAAAACATACAAAGACAGTATCACTCCAACCACAGCACCATCCCATCATGGAATTTGAGAGCAGTGGATCATTTCAGTGATTTTCAGCAAAATTAAAAGAAAATTGGAAAATGGAAGGATAAAATTCAGTTCTAGGGGTCAATGTCCACCCTCCAGGTTTATCCCTGTCCCATATCAAATTAGTATTGTTATGATGAAACCAATGTTGTTACTGACAAAACTGCACTTATGTTTTTCCTTTTCTTGCATTATAACATCAGGGACCACCAAGATCTCAGATTTAACTACGGAGAAAGTTGCAGTTGTAAAATTTTGAACACATGTTAGTATGGGTTGTCGTCACAGAACAGTTAATGTATTTTCAGTAAATTTCGGAACAAAAAGCATTGTTGCTGTGCTGAAATATGCCTAGATAGATTTTAATTATTTTCTCAAAATCTATCAGCTCTCAAGTGTAGTTGTGGTCGAGCTTGAAACCAAACATGATTTACTTTCACATCAAATGATATTTAAACAAAACCACATGACACTAAGATCAATTTGGGTTTTATTTACACTGTTGTATTTATAAAGGGTATTACAGCCAACTTGTGGTCAATGAGGTGTCAAATATCATTCCAGTCTTTTGGTCATGGTGATCCCTGATCATAACAACTTCTTTCTTAAAATGTTTGCATCTTCTAAATAAACCTACTTACTTTATGTATGACAGCATACAGTATGTTCACCTCAATACATGTTAAAAATTAGCATTTCAATCCTTAATTTATTCAAACACTTCAAACCAAGTTCTATATTTCAACCAAAAAACATTTTGACAAATTGTCATTTCACAGGACACAGAGAATATCTGTAATGGATATTACATTTTCTGAACAAAATCATAAATCTTCATTATATTTTTCTTGCATTTAGCTATCAAAAGCACATAGTATAACCGTGCCAAATAAGAGCAATTAGTTGCTTGCCTTACACTACAGATTCAAACAATGAGACTATATTTACATCCTGTAATTATCAGTAGAAACATTCGGAAATACTTTGTGATGCTGTCAACTGTGAGCGTAACAGCACTTTTCCGTCATATATCTTTAAGGAATTAAGATTTAAACAATAACGAAAATAAAAAAGAAATAACCACGAAAATAACAGGAAATCAATAAACAAACTAAAACTACAACAGCTATTAGGGGAGGGAACTCTGATAATGGATCGTCATCGATTCTCTGTTCTATCTCTTTATTTTTCACAACTGTTGCAGACAAGCTTAAATTTGCAACCCATACAAACCTGGCATGTGTTTAAATTATTTCTTTCGCCAATCAGATGTCAGATACGATGGAAAGAGAGTGAGAAAGCGTGTAGCCAAGGTGAATATTTAACGGTGTTACTGTACACTGACGAACTCGTTTGTCGATGATTCGCCATGAAACCTCAGTCAGGTAAACGGCACCGGAATGGTAGCTCAAGTAGGAGCTTAAAGGAACAGAAAACAAAACATCATTCTAAAACATATCTAATAAGATGTGTAAAACTGAAAACAGCGACAGGCTTGATAAAAATCAGGGGTGGAAATTATGCAAAATAAAAATTCGGAAGCAAAAAATCTCTGAATTTGATCAGGAGAGGAAACGTCCCAAGCCAATAAAACATCCAAACACAGGAAAACCATTCGTGTATCCACTTACCTTCCAAATGCAACTCAAATCAAGCAAACAATTCAGAATTCCTGTTATCTAAACTTTGTACTCCCATAACTGTAGAATTCATCTTCGCGTCTTCATGTTCAAACATGGCACGGTGTTCTATTTTTCTCCCAAGCTAAGCCGGCCATCTTGGGATTCGCACAATGGGGTCAATGAAATGTAGTCCTTACTTCCGTTTTCCAATTTATACGATTTTATATCAATTTTGCGAAAAAGTTAATGCAATGTTATTCGATTCATATAGTGTATCGTCTGCCATGTGCTATTTCGTTGTTGAAATTTAGTGAAAGTACTGAAATCTACAACTCTCCATGGCGGTTTACGGACGCGAAGGGATATATCGTGGTTATTGTTAGGTTAATTGCCGGGGATATAGGAAGTGATGAGGCTGTTGACAGGTACCCGACGGGGAATATCTGCGGGAACGTATTACGGATTGCAACAGTGCTTTACAACAAACGTTTTATTGATAAAATGCATTTTCGAGGTGTGTATCAGTTTTGCTGTACACAATAAAATTCGTTTTGCAGATATATTATCGGTAAACTCGATTTGCATACAGATTTTCCTCTCTGTGCCTCAAACTATTATTTTTTCTTTGTGAAAGATGAAATCTCCAGGGAACAAGCATTATCATATAGGGCAAAACTAAAATCAAAGTCTGTCAGTGCACCTTCATCTTATGTAGATTAAACAAACTTACTGGCCTTTTTAGTTTAAAAATCCTACCACACTGCATCAGATATTATTCAATAGCTTTAGCAAGCACTTGACTGAACACGTTCCGAGCGCATCCATTGCCCTCTGTGTTACTGACCCTTAGCTACTCAACTTGCAAAAAAAAAGTGTCATAGATGTTATGTTGCTACACTGAATAGGCCTATATATTTTTGATAAATTGCATTAGCAGACGAGTAAAAGATTATATGTGTTTGTGTGGGTACATATTGAGGATTTGTAGATGTATACTCGGTACCGTACCTATGTGTTATCTATATACAGCACACGAGGTTTCCTTTGCTCCCATTTCCACCAGGCCTATTTCTTGCATTTTGAATGTTACGAGGACGTAAAAAAGTCGAGAAAACTTGTGGCTAAGAATTAGAGCTAGGCTGTTGGATAGTTGGATATTTTGAATGTGTGTATATATATATAGCTCTTATAAAGCTGAACAATATTTCGAATGTATTCACGGATTCAAACAAAAGGAAACTTTATCCACATTTGTATTTGCCATTTAGGTAAATGACATTGAACTCGTGGTAAAAATGAAGGACTACGAGGGTCCATCTATATGGGATTTTGTAAATACATTTGAAAGGAATGCTATATATATATAAATGATGCAGTATGTAGTGTGTGTGCATATATATAGCAACTCAAAAAGCGTGCAGCGGATGATCTCTCATTTGGGATTTTTTTTTACAATGGACGAAATATATTTCGGATTTTATAAATGTCATACGTTTTGAATTCATTGACAAAATGTGAATGACAATTTTTCTAGTCTGGGAATTATCATAATATATGTTTACCACTTATAAATGTACTTTGAAAAGATAATTCCGAACAGAGACAATTTATGATATGTAAATTCGCGGGTAATTTTTGTGTGCCATTTTATCAAATTTACAGAACTTATATTTTTTGTCTGAATTCTGATTAATTTTACGACATTTTTAGGCAAGATTTTGTGGGATATCTATTCTTTCTTTTATTACAAATTTTGTTTAGCGTTAGTTTAGTGGTTTAACCGTGACTAATGACAAAATGTATACAATTTAACAGGCACTTTGACGTCCGGTACAAACGATTTTGGAAATGAGGTCTGCTATATAAATATCAGGTCTGCTATATACATACAATGTATAAAGTCTGCTATATAAAGATGGGGTCTGCTATATGAATATCAGGGCCGATATATAAAGATCAAGTCTGCTATATAACGATGGGGTCTGCTATATAAATATAAGGTCTGCTAAATAAATATCAGGACCTTATACAATGTATAAGGTCTGCTATATAAAGATCAAGTCAGCTATATAAAGATGGGGTCTGCTATATAAATATCAGGACCGCTATATTAAGATTGGGTCTGCTTTATAAAGATCAGTCCTGCTTTATGAACATCAAGTCTGCTATATGAAGGTGGGTATACTATATAAATATTAGGTCTGCTATATAAATACAATGTATAAGGTCTGCTATATAAAGATCAAGTCTGCTTTATAAAGATGGGGTCTGCTATGTAAATATCAGGACCGCTATATAAAGACCAAATCTGCTATATAATTAAAAATAAGATCTACTATATAAAGATTGGGTCTGCTTTATAAAGGTCAGTCCTGCTTTATAAATATCAAGTCTGCTATATGAAGGCCGGGTATACTATATAAAGATCAAGTCTGCTATATCAGGATCGGGTATACTATATAAAGATCGGGTCTGCTATATAAAGACCAAGTCTGCCAAATGGAGATCTGGTCTGCTATATAAAAATAAGCTCTGCTATATAAAGATCGGGTCTGCTGTATAATACCGGGTCTGCTATATAAATACCAAGTCTGCTATATAATTAAAATAAGATCTGCTATATGAACACCAGGTTTGCTATATAAAGATTTGGTCTGTTGTATAAAGATAAGGTCTGCTATATAAAGACCAAGTCTGCTAAATGGAGATCTGGTCTGCTATATAAAAATAAGGTCTGGTATATAAAGATCGGGTCTGCTGTATAAAGACCAAGTCTGCTAAATGGAGATATGGTCTGCTATATAAAAATAAGATCTGCTATATAAAGATCGGGTTTGCTATATAAAGGTTTGGTCTTTTGTATAAAGATAAGGTCTGCTATACAAAGACCAAGTCTGCTAAATGGAGATCTGATCTGCTATATAAAAATAAGGTCTGCGGTATAAAGATCGGGTCTGCTATATAAAGAAACAGTCTGCTATATAATTAAAATAAGATCTGCTATATGAACACCAAATTTGCTATATAAAGATCGAGTCTGCTATATAAAAATAAGGTCTGGTATATAAAGATCGGGTCTGCTGTATAATACCAGGTCTGCTATATAAAGACCAAGTCTGCTAAATGAAGATCGTGTCTTCTATATAAAAATAAGGTCTGCGGTATAAAGATCGGGTCTGCTATATAAAAATACGCCTTGCTGTATAATATCGGGTCTGTTATATAAAGACACAGTCTACTATATAATCAAAATAAGATCTGCTATATGAACCCCAAATTTGCTATATAAAGATCGAGTCTGCTATATAAAAATAAGGCCTGCTGTATAAAGATCGGTTCTGCTGTATAATACCGGGTCTGCTATATAAAGACCAAGTGTGCTATATAATTAAATATAATATCTGCTATATAAAGACCGGGTTTGCTATATAAAGATTTGGTCTGTTGTATAAAGCTAAGGTCTGCTATATAAAAATAAGGCCTGCTGTATAAAGATCGGTTCTGCTGTATAATACCGGGTCTGCTATATAAATACCAAGTCTGCTATATAATTAAAATAAGATCTGCTATATGAACCCCAAATTTGCTATATAAAGATCGGGTCTGCTATATAAAGGTCGGGTCTGCTATATAAAGGTCGGGTCTGCTATATAAAGGTCGGGTCTGCTATATAATGTATAAGGTCTGCTATATAAAGATGGGGTCTGCTATATAAATATCAGGTTTACTACATAAATATCAAGTCTGATATATCAACATCGGGTATACTATATAAAGATCGGGTATACTATATAAAGATCGGGTATACTATATAAAGATCGGGTCTGCTATATAGAAATAAGGTTTGCTGTATAATATCGGGTCTGTTATATAAAGACACAGTCTACTATATAATCAAAATAAGATCTGCTATATGAACACCAAATTTGCTATATAAAGATCGGGTCTGCTATATAAAGATTGGGTCTGCTGTAAAGATAAGAACCGCTATATAAAGATTGGGTCTGCTATATAAAGGTCAGGTATACTATATAAGGACCAAGTCTGCTATATCAAGATCGAGTATGCTGTATAAACACAATGTATAAGGTCTGCTATATAAAGGTGGGGTCTGCTATATAAAGATGGGGTCTGCTTTATAAATATCAGGTATACTATTTAAAGATCGGGTTTGCTATATAAAGGTTTGGTCTGTTGTATAAAGATAAGGTCTGCTATATGAAAATAAGATCTGCTATATAAAGATCGGGTCTGCTATATAAAGACACAGTCTGCTATATAATTAAAATAAGATCTGCTATATGAACACCAGGTTTGCTATATAAAGATTTGGTATGTTGTATAAAGATAAGGTCTGCTATATAAAGATCGGGTCTGCTATATAAAGGTCGGGTCTGCTATATTAAGGTCGGGTATACTATATAAGGACCAGGTCTGCTATATCAAGATCGAGTATGCTATATAAACACAATGTATAAGGTCTGCTATATAAAGATGGGGTCTGCTATATAAAGATCGGGTCTGCTATATAAATATCAGGTATACTATATAAATATCAAGTCTGCTATATAAAGGTCGGGTATACTATATAAAGATCAAGTCTGCTATATCAAGATCGGGTCAGCTATATAAAAAGACCCGGTCTGTCGTATAATACCGGGTTTGTCTATATAAAGACCAAGTCTGCTATATAATTAAATATAATATCTGCTATATAAAAATCGGGTTTGCTATATAAAGATTTGGTCTGTTGTATAAAGATAAGGTCTGCTATATAAAAATAAGATCTGCTATATAAAGATCGGGTCTGCTATATAAAAATAAGGTCTGCTGTATAATATCGAGTCTGCTATATAAATACACAGTCAGCTATATAATTAAAATAAGATCTGCTATATGAACACCAGGTTTGCTATATAAAGATCGGGTCTGCTATATAAAGATTGGGTCTGCTGTAAAGATAAGAACCGCTATATAAAGATTGGATCTGCTATATAAAGGTCAGGTATACTATATAAGGACCAAGTCTGCTATATCAAGATCGAGTATGCTATATAAATACAATATATAAGGTCTGCTATATAAAGATGGGGCCTGCTATATAAAGATCGGGTCTGCTATATAAAGATGGGGTCTGCTATATAAAGATGGGGTCTGCTATATAAATATCAGGTTTACTACATAAATATCAAGTCTGCTATATCAAGATCGGGTATACTATATAAAGATCGGGTCTGCTATATAAAGACCAAGTCTGCTATATAATTAAATATAATATCTGCTATATAAAGATCGGGTTTGCTATATAAAGGTTTGGTCTTTTGTATAAAGATAAGGTCTGCTATATAAAGATCGAGTCTGCTGTATAAAGACCAAGTCTGCTAAATGGAGATCTGGTCTGCTATATAAAAATAAGGTCTGCTGTATAATATCGGGTCTGCTATATAAAGATGGGGTCTGCTATATAAAGATGGGGTCTTCTATATAAAGATGGGGTCTGCTATATAAAGATGGGGTCTGCTATATAAAGATGGGGTCTGCTATATAAAGATGTGGTCTGCTATATTAAGAACGGGTCTGCTATATAAATGTCAGGTCTGCTATATCCCAAGTCTGCTATATCAAGATCGAGTATGCTATATAAACACAATGTATAAGGTCTGCTATATAAAGATGGGGTCTGCTTTATAAATATCAGGTATACTATTTAAAGATCGGGTTTGCTATATAAAGATTTGGCCGTTGTATAAAGATAAGGTCTACTATATAAAAATAAGATCTGCTAGATAAAGATCGGGTCTGCTATATAAAGATCGGGTCTGCTATATAAAGATGGGGTCTGCTATATAAAGATGGGGTCTGCTATATAAATATCAGGTTTACTACATAAATATCAAGACTGCTATATCAAGATCGGGTATACTATATAAAGATCGGGTCTACTATATAAAGACCAAGTCTGCTAAATGGAGATCTGGTCTGCTATATAAAAATAAGGTTTGCTGTATAATATCGGGTCTGTTATATAAAGACACAGTCTACTATATAATCAAAATAAGATCTGCTATATGAACACCAGGTTTGCTATATAAAGGTCGGGACTGCTATATAAAGGTCGGGTATACTATATAAAGATCAAGTCTGCTTTATCAAGATCGGGTCAGCTATATAAAAAGACCCGGTCTGTCGTATAATACCGGGTCTGTCTATATAAAGACCAAGTCTGCTAAATGGAGATCTGGTCTGCTATATAAAAATAAGGTTTGCTGTATAATATCGGGTCTGTTATATAAAGACACAGTCTGATATATAATTAAAATAAGATCTGCTATATGAACACCAGGTTTGCTATATAAAGGTCGGGTCTGCTATATAAAGGTCGGGTATACTATATAAGGACCAGGTCTGCTATATCAAGATCGAGTATGCTATATAAACACAATGTATAAGGTCTGCTATATAAAGATGAGGTCTGCTATATAAAGATCGGGTCTGCTATATAAAGGTCGGGTATACTATATAAAGATCAAGTCTGCTTTATCAAGATCGGGTCAGCTATATAAAAAGACCCGGTCTGTCGTATAATACCGGGTCTGTCTATATAAAGACCAAGTCTGCTAAATAATTAAAAATAATATCTGCTATATAAAGATCGGGTTTGCTATGTAAAGATTTGGGCTGTTGTATAAAGATAAGGTCTGCTATATAAAAATAGTATGTGCTATATAAAGATCGGGTCTGCTATATAAAAATAAGGTCTGTTGTATAATATCGGGTCTGCTATATAAAGACACAGTCTACAATATAATGAAAATAAGATCTGCTATATGAACACCAGGTGTGCTATATAAAGATTTGGTCTGTTGTATAAAGATAAGGTCTGCTATATAAAGATCGGGTCAGCTATATAAAGATTGGGTCTGCTGTAAAGATAAGAACCGCTATATAAAGATTGGATCTGCTATATAAAGGTCAGGTATACTATATAAGGACCAAGTCTGCCATATCAAGATCGAGTATGCTATATAAATACAATGTATAAGGTCTGCTATATAAAGATGGGGTCTGCTATATAAATATCAGGTATACTATATAAATATCAGGTATACTATATAAATATCAAGTCTGCTATATCAAGATCGGTTCTGCTATATAAATATTAGGTCTGCTATATCATGATCGAGTATACTATATAAAGATGGGGTCTGCTATATAAAGATGGGGTCTGCTATATTAAGATCGGGTCTGCTATATAAATGTCAGGTCTGCTATATCAAGATCGGGTATACTATATAAAGATCGGGTATACTATATAAATATCAAGTCTGCTATATAAATATTAGGTCTGTTATATAAAAACAATGTATAAGGTCTGCTATATAAAGATGGGGTCTGCTATATAAAGATGTGATCTGCTATATTAAGAACGGGTCTGCTATATAAATGTCAGGTCTGCTATATCAAGATCGGGTATACTATATAAAGATCGGGTATACCATATAAAGATCAAGTCTGCTTTATAAATATCAAGTCTGCTTTATAAATATCAAGTCTGCTATATAAATATCAAGTCTGCTTTATAAATATCAAGTCTGCTATATCAAGATCTGGTATTCTATATAAATATCAAGTCTGCTTTATAAATATCAAGTCTGCTATATAAATATCAAGTCTGCTTTATAAATATCAAGTCTGCTATATCAAGATCGGGTCTGTTATATATAAATATTAGGTCTGCTATATAAAGATTGGGTCTGCTATGTCAATATCAGGACCGCTATATAAATACCAAGTCTGCTATATAATTAAAAATAAGATATGCTATATAAAAATTGGGTCTGCTTTATAATGGTCAGTCCTGCTTTATGAATATCAAGTCTGCTATATTAAGGTCGGGCATGCTACATAAAGATCAAGTCTGCTATATCAAGATCGGGTATATTTTTATAAAGATCGGGTCTGCTATATAAAGACGAAGTCTGCTAAATGAAGATCGGGTCTGCTATATAATACCGGGTCTGCTATATAAAGACCAAGTCTGCTATATAATTAAAAATAAGATCTGCTATATAACGATTTGGTCTGTTGTATAAAGATAAGGTCTGTTATATAAAGATCGGGTCTGCTATATAAAGATTGGGTCTGCTGTATAAAGATAAGGTCTGCTATATAAAGACCGGGTCTGCTATATAATTGAAAATAAAATCTGCTATATAAATATCGGGTCTGCTATATAAAGATTGGGTCTTCTGTATAATACCGGGTCTGCTATATAAAGACCAAGTCTGCTATATAATTAAAATAAGATCTGCTATATAAAAATAAGATCTGCTGTATAATTAAAAAAAATAAGATCTGCTATATAAAAATAAGGTCTGCTGTATAATACCGGGTCTGCTATATAAAGACCAGGTCTGTTATATAATTCAAAATAAGATCTGCTTTATAATGATCGGGTCTGCTATATAAAGATTGGGTCTGCTGTATAAAGATAAGGTCTGCTATATACAGACCAGGTCTGCCATATAATTAAGAATAAGATCTGCTATATAAAGATCGGGTCTGCTATATAAAATTAAGATCTGCTTTATAAAGATCGGGTCTGCTATATAATAAAAAGGTCTGCTGTATATTTGGTCTGCTATATAAAGACCAAGTCTGCTATATAATTAAAAATAAGATCTACTATATAAAATAAGATCTGCTATATGAACACCATGTTTGCTATATAAAGATTTGGTCAGTTGTATAAACATAAGGGCTACTATTATTAAAGATCAGGTCCTATATTAATAATATGTCTGCTTAATAAATAGCAGGTCTGGTATATAGGATCAGTTCTGCATTATTATATTAAAGATGTGATTAGTTTATTTCTGTTACTAACTATGTGGTTTTGCGCAATTTAATTACTACTCGATCAAGTCAATCAAGTGTTATCTAAACCACACATTTTAAAATAGTTCTTATTTACAAGCCAAAATTATTATATCGACATTAGCTAAGATTGGTATCGGAACGTTTTTCAAATACGGATATGAAAATCAGAAGCGGACGTTTTAGAACAACCCAATTAACATTCCACGTCTGTAAGGTGCAGTTGAAAATATGTACAAGATCAATGTATCGACAAGAAAGATAACTCGTGCATGCTTATGCCAGAATCAACTTGATTCCATATACGCGGAATTTAATGCAACCCATCGATTTAAATGATTACATAAACTGTTCATTTTGTTACACAGCTGTTATGGTCAATTGTTTCGTACATCCCAATGAAATCAACGGTGGAAAAAAATAAGTATTGAAATTTTAGAAGAGTTGTGCTTATTCACCATAAAATTTAATTACGTATTTTGCGGAAACTAGCATTTTAAAGTTCACTGAACAAAGTAAATAATGTAGTAAAGTTGCACGCCGACACAGTACTAATGTTGCGTTTTGTCACTTAAGTCAAGAAGTATTTCATACAGTGACCCTAGGTTATGCATATCGTCATGCCCTGCACTAAACCCGGGTATTTTTAAGACTCTTAGTGAGGATATTTAGCAATATATTGGCACAAGTTTAACAATGGATGTAAATGCATTGGCTTCTTATGAAAGAAACCTCTCTGCTATGTAATGCGTTTGATTCGAGCGATTGAAAGACCTTTTGAGGATTTTGGGTAGCCCTAAAAAGGGCTTTTGGGTTGATGTAATAACATCGATAGTGTGAAGCGTTTACTTCTTCTTTGGTGCAGCCTTCTTTACAGCTTTCTTGGCAGCAGGCTTCTTTGCCTTGGGCTTAGCGACAGCTTTAGCCTTTTTTGGCGATTTTGAAGCTTTCTTTGGAGACTTGGATTTCTTCGCTGCCTTGGGCTTCTTAGCGGCGGCCTTTTTTGGAGTTGTCGCTGCCTTCTTTGGCTTCTTGACCTTCTTGGCTGCTGGCTTCTGGGCTTTCTTCGCGACTTTAGCAGTCTTTGGCTTTTCTCCCAACTTGAAGGATCCAGATGCACCCGTACCTTTGGATTGGACGAAGTCCTTCTTGGCAAGTCCGTTTTTCAAGGCCACTTTTACCCTGGAATTGACAGGTTTGGCGTCGTTTCCGACTTTGTAGCTAGCCATGATGTACTTGACTATAGCCGCTTTTGACGATCCCTTTTTGTCCTTATTGGCAGCGATAGCGCTTTTGATCATCGCGTTGTATGTTGGATGAGCTGGTGGACCCTTGGGCTTGCTGGCCTTCTTCGCCACCTTAGCTGGTGCTTTTACTGCTGCGTCAGACATGATGCGTGATTGTTGTTTATCCTGCGAGTGTTGAACTGAGAATGGCCTAAAATTTGTTTTGCGCCATTATATGCATTTCACTCGGACCTCCGAGAGAGCCCCTACATAAAGTGCTCGCTGAATTCTGCATGTTTGCTATATTTCTTATGTTTGTGTTTCCTTGACTGACTTTAATCCTATTATAAAACATTTTCTGTTTTTCGGAAACAATTCAAACATTGTACAAGTGAAGTTGAAATATGAATTTTTGTTATAATTCTTAAACTGTATCCTTATCTACGCACAAGCTATATTCTATGTAGCTTTTAAAGCGAAAAAATGCTAAGCGTTTCATATACAGTGTTGTTCAACGATCAATTCCTATTTTACTAATTGAGTAACAGATTCATTTATTTACGAAATATGTAGAATAATAATAATTTTATACGTTAAAACAAACGATGTTAAAATATGTATTATACTTTTTCTGTAAAACGAATTTGAAATATGTAACGAAAGCACAGTCACCGTACTCAATTTTCTACAGGCGCCAAACAGTTTCAGATTTGTGCAAATAGGGAATATATGGATTATTTACCTTAATCATCACATATTATCATATTAAGTTGTGATATTTAGGTATGGGTTATTGTTTGAATGTCTTAGTGTGCTGTTATTATGCTGAAACGAAGCAAAGTTTATCATTTCCTATTGTAAACAAAACATGGCGGCGCAGTTCGCCACGACAATCGGTCAGCTAGCTGCCTCTAATCTCTATATTAGATTTATATTCATTTTTCAATCGAAAATGATGATATATCATTCTCATTGCTTGTTTTTTCTTCCACAACGTTTGTCACATTGATGCATATGATTTTTTTCACCTAAATACTCCTATTTATTACAATATCTATTGTATGTATACGGCTATTTTTAATATAGGCCGATACATCTAAATTGTCAATAATTATAATACCATTACAAATTTGTAGAACCTGTTTCACAAACTCGACAACAAAACCAGAAACATATTTTAGCATATTTCCTTTCGTTGTTTACAAGCTATTATTTTTTTTTGTCAAACATATACAATATTGGGATATATTCATATATATATATACTGTATATACTGTTCTGTTTCACTGTGTCTTGATAAAGGAGCGGATCGCTCCGAAAATTTGACAACCTAAACTTGTCCACACTGTTGGAATTACTTCTTTGCCCCATATACTATTTTAAGTAATTCGTATTCTACGGACATACCTCCATTAGGATCCAGTGTAATATGGGATTTTACCGTCTATATTACTTCTTTGACCCATATATATATTAGTATATCTATCTCCGTGAGCAGGGAGGGTTGTTTTTCTTTGTAGATTCCACCGTGAAACTCGGAAACTATGATAATTGGATGTACGAGGAATTATGAAATGATATAAAAATTACACCATTAAGTGCTAACCGGACTGGACCTGGAAATACTACAGGTTAGATCTAACTCGGTTGACAGCCTGTATCACGACTGTAACTATTGCCCCATCTTTACGTGATTTCTAGCGTAAGATGACCTAGTTATCCATGGTCTAATCAATCACGGAATGATCTATGTAAGTCCGTGGTCTAATACCATTCGATTTTATTTAATTGCTGTTGAAAGCAGATACCAGTTTTGTTGTAATTTACCGTCAATTATTTGAGGATATTTTAATACAGAGACTCTGGGTAACCAACGAGTCATGTATGGTTGTTGGTCATTTATATCTATATATTTTTTAATATATTTATTTCACAAAGTTTTTAACAATTTCAAAATGATATACCTAACACTTTCACAACTTCTAAATGATCCAATAAAGAAGAGACTTGGTGTATTACATTTAATTATTACTTTAACTACACTTAAGTCTTGAAAAAAATGTATACGCACATATTTATTTCTTCATAACACCAAACATATTTTCAAAATGTCTAGAAATCCTTTGTCTACACATTCATATTAAAAACTATACTGAACGAATTATGAGCTTGATAACAATCACAACTGCACTGAGATTATGAAAGGTTCTTTTTACTCAATCAATAAGATTATTTTCTATGTGGCGTTTCGATGACTAGCACGATATGATCACTGTCACCTTCATATGTATACATATCATTTGATACGTGGTATTAGTGAATTAAAATCTTCTATATAATGACTACAATTGATGTTATTATGAAACATGTTGGAATTCTTTGGTTAAATGTTAGCTTTATGTAATATAAAGAAGTCTTTCCCCCGTTTTCTATCGTATTTAACCCGGATACGTGTTACACACCGCTACAAGCTGAAATGTGTATTGTTCTCTTTAATGACTGTACTGATAGTGTTGTTTGTTGACATCTTGAATTACAAATATCTGGTTTGTTTGTGTTTTACGTCCTTTTAATAGATATGGTCATTAAGGACACGCCAGGTTTTGGTGGTGGAGGAAAGCCGGATCCCGGAGAACAAGTCCCACGTAGCTAGGCCTCGAACACGCGACCCAGTGGTGAGCAGAATGTCAGACGGACGCCTTCACCACTTGGCCACCGCGGCCCTTAGCAATGACAAATATGTGTTTTTTTATAATTACAAATATGATATTATCCAACCTCCTGTTAACCAACTATTATGTACTACAGTTAGCTAATGCATTTGCGTATGAAATAAAAAAAAAGTCTAACATTTACCCCTGCCGATTATGCAACCTCCTTATTCAGGTTAGATTCGAGGCTTCGATATAAGACTTGATATGCATTATATTTACCCCCAGCCCGGAAACTGTTTGATAATCACACCTTCTGTTTTATCCGTTTTTCTTTTCCAATGAGTTCTGCATTTAATAGTTAAAGGAAAGAATCATCCTGATATATCCACGTAACATTCACAGCATGAAAGTAAAATAAAATGGTTGCCTCTTCATTGGATATTACTTTCTAAATAGACATTCTGTATTTATTTATTTTAAGAAAACATTCCTTTCAATGATAGCTTTGTTTCGTCTTAAATTAACGAAATATCATCTGCATATTGTGGTAGTTGTCATCTGCACTTATCATTTCGTATTCTTATACCAAGTTTTACTACACACAGTATATGATATATGTGACTATCGAATCACCTTGACGGAGCCCTCTGAGAGGTTAGCGCCTTGATTGAATCACAATCCAAAGGTTTAACCGAATAAATAATATCACTACCGAATTTAAAACAATCTTATACTTTATTAATAAAATCCCAGTAGAATCAAAAGCCCTTTCAAAATCAATAATTAAAAGGATGCCTGGTATATTATTTTCCTCCTCATATTGCGTTATGCATGTATCATATATATATTACGTTATACCATGGAAACCAAACAGAAGTCAGTCCTGTCTGATCGCTTTAGCTGATTGACATACAACTGATTTTAATCTTTCAGCGATTCACCCTGATGCAATTTTACTGTGAATATTTAGATCTGTCAAATATGGTCATGGCTTATCCACTTTTCGCAAACTTGTTGTAATTCACTGTCTTTGGGTTTGCATAATCAATCGATTTTAAAACCAACTTACAAAACTGTTTTCAAAAAATACTTCAAACATTCGATCATAGAATATAAACTAACAGTATCTGCAAAAATCTTTGAACTTGAAATTAATGTAGGGAAACCACAGATTATATGGATAGGCTACAGAAAACACAGATTATATGGATAGGCTGCAGAAACCACGGATTATATGGATAGGCTGCAGAAACCACAGATTATATGGATAGGCTACAGAAACAACAGATTATATGGATAGGCTGAAGAAACAACAGATTATATGGATAGGCTGGAGAAAACACAGATTATATGGATAGGCTGTAGAAACCACGGATTATATGGATAGGCTGCAGAAAACACGGATTATATGGATAGGCTGCAGAAAACACGGATTATATACATAGGCTGCAGAAAACACAGATTATATGGATAGGCTGCATAAACCACAGATTATATGGATAGGCTGCAGAAACAACAGATTATATGGAGAGGCTGCAGAAACAACAGATTATATGGAGAGGCTGCAGAAACAACAGATTATATGGATAGGCTGCAGAAACAGCAGATTATATGGATAGGCTGCAGAAAACACGGATTATATACATAGGCTGCAGAAAACACAGATTATATGGATACGCTGCAGAAACCACAGATTATATGGATAGGCTACAGAAAACCCAGATTATATGGATAGGCTGCAGAAACAACAGATTATATGGATAGGCTGCAGAAAACACAGTGAAGACATTATTGCAATCGGCAAATAGGAAATTTACTCTCTGATATTTTGAATTAGATGTAGATTTGCAATTAGTCACTGAATTAAATTTTGATGAAAACTTAGTAATACATTATGAACTTGGAAATGAAGGATTATTACCCCAACTTAAAAGTACATATAATGAAATCGCTTATGATTTCACAATTTAACCATTTGTTGAAAGCTCTTTCAAATTCAGATGAAAATGTTTACTTAAAAGCTGAAAACAAAATTGTGTCACTTTCTTTGAAAAGGTGAAGTACATAAACTGAAAAGGGATTTACATTTTTCTTATGGATGACCCACATAGAAGCACTGGTGTAATGAATTCATAATTAATTAACTCAAATATATCTTCCATCAAATATGGAATATTCTTTTAATCGATGATTTAGTTATAGGAGACAATACACTGCATAACTATAGAAAAAAAAAGATACTAATTCCAACATGACTCTCAAACCTATCTCTAACCCGTCCATTTATGCATATCTACTTGCACAAAATTGGTTAAAGGGATTTTTTACAATTTACTCTGAAAACCACAATATTTCAACAGGCAGAACAAAGTGAGAAGAAGAGTTTGATAATGAACAACAAGAGCATATCGAAGTGTCATTAAAACCACAATTCGAACCCAAAATCGATAAAACTTTGGCAAAATGTGAGCAAGGAAACGATTTTAATGGAGATAATTGAAAATTGGTTTAAAGAGACTAAGACTAGGTGTTCCG